GTCACCGTGTGTGTGTGTGTGTGTGTGTGTGTGTGTGTGTGTGTGTGTCCTGGACCAAAACCAGAAATTGGAGTTTACGTTACTTAGGATTTTTGAAGAGGTTCTTGCTGAAGACCAGTGGTTTAGGAATGCCTCTGGCCCTGCCTCAAGCCTTGTTGCTCAAGGGACACAGATCTCTGTTCCTTAGTTGCATAGTATTTGTTGTCAAATTGTATAGTGAACATTACTCCATATTTTGAATGATATCACCAAAAAGTATTTGAGGAACAATATTTTACTATTCTAAGAACTTAGACTAGTAGTAATTTAGTATTGAATGATAATATACTGATTTTGCTTATACATGGCATTTATATTTATTTTTAGACTTTAATATTTCACTGATTATATGATTAATGATTGAATTTACCAAGTGTATCTTACCATTTTATTTTAATGCCTGGATTCTAAGACCTATTAAATAATATTTGTTTCTTATCCATGACTGCTAATTTAAGTGAAATTCGGCTTTCTAGGATTTTGCTGTATAGCAAATTATTGCTTATTAATTTTAAAGTTTGTTCCACTATTATTTTTAATCTAGATGAGGGAGCAGATGCATTTGCCTTTTATAGGTGTGGGACTATCTGAAATAAGCTTCTAAAGTAAGAAATTATTCCAAGGTGGTATTTTCATTCTATTAATCAGAAGTTAAGATTTTTATCTGAGTTCTTAGACTTTGGATTTTAATTCCTATCTATGAAAAAATGCCCTTGTAAAATATTTAAATGATTTCAAATGTATAACATTTTATAACATTATAACCAAAGTAATATTTATTAACTGATGTGTGTTGACCATGGTACTCAGTGTGCAAAATACCCTACTTTGTCTCAAATTAAAAATTCATTCTTAGAACTTGAGTTGGTTTTTGTGTGTGTACTGCATACATTCAACAAATTTATTTTTGTGCTGTGTTTTAATTTGTCTATGTGCTATGCTATAATAAAGTATATTAAGACTTATTTAATTTTACTTAGTCCCAACACACATCCTACTGTAGAGGATAAACAAAAATGAAAGAGGAAGATATTTTAAGAGATACAGGAAATCTCTGGGAAGGATGATTCTACTGATTGTTGGTCTGTGAATTTTATAATTTCTTTGGATAACAACAATCTGTACTATGTAGGAAGAATATTTTCTTTGAGATAAGTAACATAGCAGTTATGGATATGTATTTGGAATTGTGCAGTTACTGTGAGTCAATCTTGGAATCAGTTTGAGTCCCATCATTTATCACCATCATCATAATGAGTCTAAAAATATGCTGTTTACTTCTTATGGAAATGGAAAAGAAGTCCAAATTTTCTAATATGTAACAGCTTTGATGTATATAACCTTTCTTTTGCTACCTACACATTAGATACACATTCCACTTGGTCAAGTCTAGTTATCATGTAAATTGTTAGATATTTATTTATTTATTGTGTAAATCAGTTATGGTTTTCCTTTTATGGTTTTAATATACTCATACACAGTCATGCATCTATATGATTTAGAAAGCATTTTTGTTAAAATGACATTGATTGGTCTTATTGGAATCCATTGTGCCTTGACTTTAAATATCACAAGATACAAAATTTTAATCATAGAGGTGCATATTTATGCATTGTTACATCCTTTAATGGTAATAATCTGGGTTGGGAAAAGCTGGTATCTTTACTGAAGGTTGGGAGTCATTTAGCTGACTTTTATTTGTGCAATGAAGGTTGTGTACTTATTTATTAATTAACTACTTTTTTCATAGGGTATGATAAAAGTCTATTTTTAAAGTTTTAACAAAAAAGAATACTCAGAATTATAACACTATTGAACTTCGGCTATTTATGAACTTGAGCCATTTCAGTAGACTGATCTATTCCCTGGATCTAAATTAATGATAATAGTACATTTGTTCCTTTATAGTTATATTGAACATTGGAACCCAAATGCTTTATATCAGGTCCTTAACCAAATACCATGAATTTATAGTGTTGTAGCTATGCTATTTGGAAATCAAACTCTTTAATCATCTATTAGAAATAAACAATCAAGGAAAATATATTAATGAAATACTCGATTCTGAATATTTTAGGAGGAGGTTTTGTTGAGTGTTGCTTAGTCCATTAATAATAGAGAAATATGACTTATAAAGACAAATTACAGTACTTAGAAAGTCAATAATATCTTTAAAATTTAGTAATTACATGGAAAGAAGAAAAAATAAATTTAAAACTACATATTTAAGTTTCAGAATTTATTTCTCATAAGTCTTTAAGCAAAAATATTATATTTTAATGGGTGATAATGAAATGTGTGATAAGAAAAGTATTAGAAACTATTCAGGATGTGAAATGTAATTGTGTATTAAGTATATATACAAATATTATTATATGCTAAAATATTGAATGCCTTTTAAATTTACATTTAGTACATTTAAATTTACATTATAGTAGATTTCAACAATACTATGTATGACCAAAATTATCCCATCTTATATGAATTAAATTAGACTCCCCATTTAAGATCATAATTATACAAAGCTTATAGATGATATGATACCATTGCTTGAAAGCAGCATTTTTATATCAAACCATGCTTGGTGTCATCATCAAAATGTACCAGAAACATCAGCTTTTGGTTCTTTGCATATAAGGACCAATTTCTGCACAGGAGATACTCATCAGATATGTATGTCTAGAGGTACTTAGGACACGGTGAGTAAAGCACAGGGTTGAAGCACCATACAAGGAATTGAAGCATGAGCCAGAGAAGGATCCCAAGGAGTACAATTTTTAAGATCTAAGTTACTGGAGGATATAAAAAACTTTGTTCCCTTGAAGCTTTTAAAATGGGATGAATTTTGTCATTTTTTTAATGTCAAAGACTTTTCAAAGCAGTTCAGCTTTCAACTTAATGACTAATTTTCTTCTATAAACCCCACAAATATTGTGTTCTATTAATTTGTCACAGTATTTAAGATTGACTCAGCATTTAAGAAATCATCAGGCTTTCTTACTCCTAGGTATGTGAAATTTTAGGGAAAAAGCTTTATGAATTTTAATAATCTTTTGAATAATATTTGTAGTTACTTAATAGTAATTACAATTTTATTATTATTTTACATAGTTTTTCTTTCAAGAGGAACAGTTTCATAATAGTAAAGACAAAAGCAACTTTAAGAATGAGTATATAGGCAGAAGATGGGTAAAATGGGTGAAGGGGAGTAAGAGATGCAGGTTTCCAGTTATGGAATGAGTCAGTCATGGGAATAAGTACAAGGAATATAGTCAGTGGTATTATAATAGCGTTGTATGGTAACAGATGGCAGCTACCCTTGTGGTGAGCACAGCATAATGTATAGAGAGGTTGAATCACTATATTGTACACCTAAAACTAAGGTAACATTGTGTGTCAGTTATAGTCAAAGAAAAAAATTATTTATAAAAACGACTTTTGAAGTTTACAAATAGGAAAAAAATAAAAGAGGGATAATAACCCTCTCTGTTTACAATTTCCTTATATTCCATTAACTGAGGTGGTTCAGAAGAAGATAATCATTGGCACCAAACCATGTACACATTTTAAAATATGTGAATTTAAAAGGGATATGGACTCTGTGTAGTGAATTTTAACAATATATTCTGTTAATGCAGTTTGTAATATTCACCCCTTCACAAAATATACTATTATCTATATGACATATTTATGAACATTTTAGTATTTTTATACTATATATAACAAACTCAGATTTTCTAAGATATTTTTATTTTATTTTATCTTATTATTTTATTTTAAAGTTTTATTTATTTTTGATAGAGATAGAGTGTATGAACTGGGAAGGGGCAGGGAGAGAGGGGGAGACACAGAATCTGAAGCAGAGCCTACCACTGGGCCAGAACCCATGAATTGTCAGATCATGACTGAGCTGAAGTTGAACACTAAAAAACTGAGCCACCTAGACACCTCTCTAGTATACTGTTAACATTTTTATATTTTCTATCACATTTCCTTTATAGTGCCTGTATGTGCTATGCCTGTCATCTACGTACAGTACTTTGTGATCTTTATAGATACCAGGAAAATATATTTTCCCAACACTCAGCTAGATATATTACTATTAGTTGGTATGCTTTACTCTCTTAATTTTTTTCTCTTTCAAGATCCATCAGGAGAAAAATTTTCATTGATTTAATCTAATATTTAAAATGTAAAAGATAATTTATTCTCACATTCACCCATTCTGGCTTTTCTTCCTATACAAATACTGAAAGCACTACTACTTTCTGTTATTTTTTTCCCTTTTTTCTCAGGTGTTTTCTGTAGTATTATATTTTAAGCCAAAAATATCAAAATTAAAGGTTCATAAATTCATGCTTACAAAATTAGGATTTTTAAAGTTTTCGTTATGTCTTTTTTATGGCTTTAGTACAATTGGATTTTCTGTTGGTTATATGGTACTCTTGCTAAAAGTTATTCTTGATACTTTATTCAGCACTGTGTGCTAAAAGTATGTCCTAGTGTCAGCTGATAAGGGAAGAGGATAGAGACCAGAGACTAATTTTGAAAGAATATGATATAGTTCAGGATAGTAGAAAGAGACACACTAGGTTTTAATACTTACTGAACAAAATTTTTATCAGCATCACTAGATGGAAGGCTGTGCCTTGGTATGGATAGTCTTTCAAGGTAAGGTGGAGTGGGTCAACCCAGTTCTTTCAATGCTTTTTATGTATGTTCCTAGGCTGATTTGTGAGAATAAAAGGTAGTTTATAGTACGAAGTGCATTTGTAACACACATTCATTCCAAGGATTCAGGTTACAGCTTTTGCAATGCAGGGGTGTATCATTTTGGGATGTACACACTCAAGATTACAATATTCATAACCCTTTACTTTATAGACTGAAGAAGTCATACTTAAAATGATGCATTCTCCACTTTAAAGCATTGCACTTTTCATTTCCCCTCCATGGTGCAGGTGACTTGGATTATTACTGGTTGGATCCTGCCACGTGGCATAGCCGGGAAACATCACCTATTAGTTCGGTAAGCTTTCTGGGAAATGAAAGTTGGAGGTTAGGGACGATGTGTGCTGTTCATTGTCCTAGCTATGTTTGATATGTGATAGATAGCAATCTTACTCTGTTTCATTATACATTTTTTTAAAAGTTTTATTTATTTATTTTGAGAGAGAGTACATGCATGAGCGAACAGGGGAGGAGCAAAGAGAGAGGGAAAGAGAATCCCAGGCAGGCTTCTTGCTGTCAGTGAGGAGCCTGACCCAGGGCTTAGTCCCACAAACCATGAGATCATGACCTGAGACAAAATGAAGAGTCAGATGCTTAATTGACTGAGCCACCCAGGTGCCCCCCCCCCCATTATACATTTTAAGAGAGAAAATATTCATTTCCTTTAAGGTAGGACAGTGTAGAAGGAAAAAAATAACTGAATAATTACAAGAAATTTTATTTTATTTCTAAAAAGTGTTCATTTTTGAGAGAGAGCATGCATAAGTGAGCATGAGAGGAAGAGGCAGAGAGAGAGGAGAGAGAGAGAGAGAGCGAGCATACGAGCAGGGGAGGGACAGAGAAAGGGAGATACAGAATCTAAAGCAGGCTCCAGGCTCTGAGCTGTCAGCACAGAGCCTGATGTGGGGCTTGAACTCACAAACTGTGAGATCATGATCTGAGCTGAAGTTGTACGCTTAACTGACTGAGCCTTCCAGCTCCCTGCAACTTATCTTTTTATAACTTTATCCATGTTTTAATAGCATCCTGTAACGTGGCAACCATCTAAAGAGGGGGACCGATTAATTGGACGTGTTATTCTGAACAAGAGAACAACCATGCCCAAAGAATCAGGTGCATTACTGGGTCTGAAAGTAAGTATGATGGTTTAGAATGTTTCTTAAGGGTGGATTACAGTACAGGCTGCATTCAACAAAATTTCTGACAATGATTTTTAAATATCTTTCTCTCTTCCCCAAACTTAGTTCATCTAGTGAATTTATCTTGTTCATATATTGATGTCTTATGGTAGATACAGTATTTTTATCTGCATTAATGTTTTAAAATCATTTTATTAATATGGCATACAAATGTGTTAGGAAATTGCAATGAAATACAGAAAAATAAAGAATTTTTATCTGAGTATGAAGTTCAAGGATGATTTTTACATGAAGAAGGTTTTAATGGACGGTAGTAAATTTAGATAATGTGGACTGCATAATTTTATTTTATCTTGACAAGCAACATAAAACATCATTAAAGAAATTGTTTCCAAAGTACAGTAGACTTTATGGTAATATCAAAAGAGTAAAATGTGTCTCTTAAAAATATTAACTGACATCCAACAGATATAAAGAAAAACTAATAAGTTGCAAAAGATTATGTTTTATTATAGGAAAAATATATATATATTTTTTATTTTATTATGTATATGCATGTGTATGTGTGTTAAATCACATGGATTTATTTGCTTTTAGAAATTGGGAGAATCATTCAAAGATGGGCTTTAAAATTATTTACTAATATGTTGTATTATAGTTGTGTGATAATTTGACATCTTGAAAACCATTGACTATTAATCCAACTAAAACTTTCCTTCAGTTAATGCACTTAATAGTATCACCTTATTCTTTATTAACATTTATTTCTCGTGCTATGAAATAATTCTGATCACCTCTAATGGGCATATCCCAGAGTACAGTGGATCAGCCTCAACCTTTGAGAATATGTCCTGCACCTTTATTTATACACACTTGGTGCCTACATTGGGAGAAATTAAACTTAGAACCTTTCTGATATACTTTGTTTTAGTTACAGTTGACAAGCCAGGTGAAAGTGTTAAATATTCAGTAATACAACTCAGACTTCAAGAGTTAGATCAGAATATGTATTTCAGATGAAGTCATTCAGATGGTCAGTAGCAGAGATAAAGTTAGGCTATTACTCATTGTACCATGGTAAATTGCTTCCAGAAGTGGTCTATTCTTGGTTTGAATCCACAGTCTTTATGTCTTAGACCTTATATTCTACTTAAAGGTATACAGAAGGGTTAGATCTGATGTGACAGGGGGCATGATGTGCAATATAGAGCTTTAATCTTAATTAATAGTCATGAACTTTGAGGATAAAGAAAAATGAGCCCTAATGTAAAATGTGTCACACACTTTTGAAAGTAGGGAAGACCTTGCACTTGTCTTCTAAGGATATACACTATTTTTGGTCCCTTTGTATTGTTAGGTCAGCATAAGTAATCAGTACATGAACTTCCTCAGGGTTATCTCAAATATAATGAGATGTTTTCTTTTTAAAACTATACTGCCACCCCTTTAAATAAAAATATGTTTCAGTTTATTAATGTGCCTATACTCAATACTAAATACATTGTAAAAGACTGTAAGATTAATTCCTCAAAGTAATAAATTTATATTTTAATATGAATCTTGGGAACTTATAAGTTTATTATTATTCAGGTTGTTGGAGGAAAAATGACTGACTTAGGACGCCTTGGTGCCTTCATCACCAAAGTAAAGAAGGGTAGCCTTGCAGATGTAGTTGGACACTTACGAGCAGGTAAAGTTCCTTTTTAACATTTAAACAATGTGTACTTTTTGCATGAGTTGGCGGTTTTCAATGTGGGGTAAGTTATATATAAGTCAGTAAAATATAACTAGTTTTAGTGCATGGATGAAGATTTTTTCTCCTGGCTTGGATATTTACTTCCATAATAGGTAACTATACATCAATAGCAGTTTGGAGAGAGTAAGATTAGGAATCTTTTATTATTTATGTAAAAGTAAATAGATGCAAAATGCTGCAGGATTACTGATTTTTGTAGACGGCTTCATAATTTTGCTACAAAAATCCAAAAAAATTTAGCCTTGTAGAAGAAGTAATATCACTAATTAATTCTTTGTATTTTAAACTATTATAATTACTAACATTTTTCAGTGGTCCCAAAACACTTATCAGTAGCAGTGTTTTTAGTAAAATACAACCGTAATCACATTTCTTACACAGATTACATATAAAATACTTGTTAATTTTATTGTGACATGTATTACACTCATGTGGATGTGCTACTTCTTGGTATTTGGAAATTTACATTATGTTACTCTGTAACCTTAACATAATATAATAAAATCACTTAATATATTCACATGTACCATGTTCAGTGGCAACACACTTTAAAATCTATCTTTGTTACTTACCCTTCATTTTAGTTAAATATTAAAATATTAACATATTTTTTCTGGGTTACCTCACAGTTTAGTAGAATTTTTTGGTTGGAGTGTCTGCTTATGCATTTTAAAAACAATTATAAAGAAAACAGAGAAAACTGAGCTATGGAATTGAAGATTAATAACCCATAGCACATAGAAAGAATATTTCTAGGTGTTTTTCAATTTTTATACCTTAACATTGTAATTACTAAGACCTTTAGAAAAGTGTTACATAACCATTAAAGATATTTTTGTTGTAGTTTATTACCAGGATATCAGTTGAAAATCATTAGGATTTTTTTCTTGGATAGAGACTTCCTATGCAGGTGTTGTATAGGGAAAAAATCCAAATCAGAGGTTTTTCTCAATCTGCAATATATACAGCTTTGAAGATGTGTAGAGGTTCAGTACACTATTGTTTCTTATCAGGGACTAGTTGTGATTTAATAAGAAAATAATTCAATCAGGTGTGACTATGTCAATAAACTGAATCTTTGCTTATTTAAAGACTGGAAAATAAGCCTTAGAAAGTTTATGAATCTCTTTTAAATAAAGTACAAAAATCCCTTGAATCAATGTAATGCTCTGATATAACTACAGAAATCTGAATTTGCATATCAGATTATAAACATAATGGCTTTTGATTTTGTCATTGTATTTTAATAGATTACTTAAGAAAGTCAATGAAGGGGTTTTTCTATATAAAATATCCCTTAGTGATTAATTTCATTTATTTAACACCTTTATATGCATAGAGCCTGAGAAATGTACGTCTGAAATGTTAAAAGCTCAGCTCAGATAACTGTAAAAGAAGTAGACTTTTCACTAAAAGCAATTGATGCATTTGAAAGAAGTATTTTAATAAATTATATCATATATTCTGTTTGATTTACATTATAATTTAGGAACAGTCTTCCTTCTATTTGCATATAACCATCACTGGCCTAAACAGTGCTGTGTTTTTTATTAACATGACCTTTGTTCAGCATTTGCAGTCTTGCTTTAATCTTGCCATACATAGCTTTCTATACTGCTTCTTCCCCTTAAGTCCATGCACTATACCACTACTTGGTTTAAGTATCAAAATAAAGGTTGACATTGATATGCTCCTGATTAAAAATCTCCAGTCTCCAGTCATCATCTGCTTAAGTCAAAACTCTGTAGTTCTGTCCTCTACTAACCATTCCAGCTACTTCTGTTACCATCCACTTAACCTGTCAGCCATGGCAGTCTGCCTATAAGTCCCTGGCAAGCTATCCACCTATTAGACCTGGTCCATGCCTCTTGTCTATCTGGTTGCTTTTTTGCTCTTGTGCTCTACCTTTTGAAGTCCTTTCCATCCTTCAAAACTCATCTAAAGTTGCCTTAATTCTAAAGTGTTTCCTAATATCTCACCTGGAACCGTACCTAATTACTATCTCCCTAGCACTACCTGGCTCTCTTTCTCTTCCTTAGATGAGCTCCTAACACTGTGTATAACATTTTACTAAAGATATTCATTCCTGTATTTCTCCCCTACCAAGGACAGAGGTTATCTCTTTTTTATCTTTGCATCATCATAATCTACATCTCTGCCTGAAGAGATTATCCATATAAAATAAATATTGTTAAAGACACCGCCTTCTAGTTTAGGAGATTTTGATTTGTAAATAAACACATGTAGTAAGTTAATATGATATAAAGAGTTATGCTTCCAGGTTGCTATCTATAAAGAGAAGAATTTTTGTAATTCAGTGCTTTTGCAAAATAATGATTGTAACTCATTACTATACAGTCACTTTAATGGTTTACATCCATCATTTTAAAAACAATGAAATAGAACATGATAGAATTAGAGATGTCAGGGTAAATGTTTCAGAAAGCATTTTTTCATACACACATACATGCACATACACATGCACGTAGAAATATTAACATGATATAAACTTTATTTCTTTTCTTGGTCAAATTTAAAATACTGAATATATTTTAAAATACTGAAAATTTAAAGTACTAAATATATTTTAAATTTGTAATTATATTTTATTTCTTTTCTTAACACTGAAGTATATTCATTTCCTATTTAAAACGCCTTGCTGTGTAACTTCTTTGGTCAAACTATTAAAAGTCACTTAACTATTAATATTAACCATACTCTTACCAAACCAAAGCAGCATTACATGCTTTTCAAATATTTAGTTTTTATTTTTGAGTTAGCAATCATTTAAGAAAAAATACTTTAAAATAGTCTTAGCAAAACAAAATTTTTCTACTTTTTAGAAGACCTACCTAAAAACTGAAACATCTCGTGCTTACAGTTAGCTTTCATATATATATGTAATGATCATATTGATCCATCAGTTCCGCATGTATTAGCTACTAAAGCATTACAGGCACTGAGAATAAGATGAGCGGAAACAATAAAATTAAGACACCGCAAAGTATCATTGAGATTGGGATATTTCAGCTGAGCCTGCTATTTTGAATTGAATCAGGGTATTGTGCAGAGAACCATTTGGGATCTAAAACTGCTCTAAATATTCATGAAAATAAATAATTTTTCCCAAATAATCTATGGTAAAATCCCTAGTTAAAATATTAACAATAAATTATTTGCTCATTTATTTTAACGTTTTATTATTCTCCTTGATGAATCATAGAATATTTAATGAATGAGTACTGTACTAATACTTTATTATTTTAAAAATATTTTCTAATTTTACTTTAATGCTCACAATATATATTATGTATAGAATGTGTGTGTTATGAACATCTGGAAGTGGGTTAACTGTCATGCAACAGTTTTACATCTGCTTGCTTTGTAACTTTGCCATAGCTACCTGCGTTGCCCTATGGGTATGAATCCAAATCCTTTCATGCATTTTTATTATGTTGTGCGTCTGGTGAAGATAAAGAGGCATGACTTAAATTGGAAAACTCATGCTAATAAATGTTAATTGCTATTTCAACCAAAAATAAAGGAGGATTTATCCAGAGTTAAATAAGAATCTTTCACATATAGAGCTGCCTGCATTTATTATATGGAGGACATGCTGCTAATTATTATTTTTTAATGTTTCCAAATAGGCTGTGCTAATTCCATCCCATAGCATGAGATTTTTTTAATATTATTTCTGGTATATTTCAAAAGATAAAGGTAGTTTTGTATTGTGCTGTTTCCTGTGACCAGTAATATTTTATGGGGAAAAGAAAAAGAAAAAAAAAGAAAGAAGAAAAGAAAAAAGTGTTTAGAAGAACAATTCAGCTGACATTATATGTCAGTCAATTTGTTTTTGAGAGCAAAGCCTAGACAATTAAACTTTGTATATGTTTTGCATTTCTTTGTTAAAAAAGAGAAAAGATAAGAAAAATAAACAGAATATATAAGGTAAAAAAATACCCTTTTTTTTAAATTCAAGGGGATGAAGTTCTAGAATGGAATGGTAAACCCCTGCCGGGAGCTACAAATGAAGAAGTTTACAACATTATTTTAGAATCAAAATCAGAACCTCAAGTTGAAATTATTGTTTCAAGGCCTATTGGGTAAGGCTAAAAAAACTTACTTCTTAAGTTTAGTAAATTACATGTATTAGCAAGGTTTTAAAAAGAAGTTTATACATTCATACAGTACATGTTAATAACATGGATATTTTTTCTTCAATTATGGGCATACATTTTATATTTTTTAAATTTCTTAATATTTTAAACTTGAATACTGAATTTTCTTCACTACATTTTAGAAGCTCCACAATTTAACAACTGTATTATTAAAATATATTGATATATATTTCTCAGAAGTAAAATATAAACTAAAAATACTTTCTTTTAATGGCAGACTTATTTATTTTTAGTTATTTAGCTTAATGAGTAGTATTTCCTTAAAGGGAGTCACTAACAACTCATCTTCTTATGACATTTAAAATAGTAATTGTTCCATATCTACATGAACTTTTTATTATTTTCCTAAGAAGAGAATATTTTTTCTATATTTTTAACCATCAGTAGTGCCAACTTTTATTTAAAATCAAGTGAGTGTGAAGTATTTTAACTTTTTAAAATATTGGTCATAATAATTGGTATAATTTTTTTAATCTTCAGTTTTTAGCCTAATTTAATTATCTATAGCCAATGGGAATTTTTTGAATCTGTGTATAGGGTCTCCCACATGTTAGCTTTTCCTGGCTAACCCACAAAGTCCAGAATATTTTTTTTTGCCAGCCTGTAATTTTTTTGGAAGACATTTTGAAATATCTCATTATAATTGGCTTAAAGTTAGAATGTATTTTTGGAAATAAATCCCTCTTTTTTTTCCCTGTTCTCTAAAAGATTATAGAGCCATTAATTCAAGACATATGTTGAAAAAATAATAGCCTTAATTTTTTGTTGTCCTCATGTATATATGTCAATGCAAAACATACAAGAAAATATAATTATCCTAATTTTCAAAAGACTGAACATGTACGGTCACATATTTCAAAGAATAATATTAATATATATAAACTTTAAAATAAGAGATTATAAACAATTTTAAGTGGTGATTATTAAGAGTAAACATTGAAGACATTTGCAAAAGTATTGTACATTTCCATGCAAAAATTTTTAAAAATAGCAACACTTTATAATTTATGCTAGTTTACATAGCATGTATTCTAGTGCTCAGGTAAATATGAGGCTGGAAAAGAGGTAAGTAAATTGGAAAATGAATCAAAAATAAAAGAATTTAAAATCAAGCATTGTACACATTGTCAAATACTTTCAGATAATGTAGTGGTTTAAAAGTAATCAACTAAAATATTGATTTGTGGTAACGTTAAAAAAAACTATAGACAATTAAAGTGGACTGGAATAACATTTTCATTATTTTCACTTTTGTATGCAAATAATTTAAAAAATCATAATTTGTATAGCCTAACCCTAAATTGTCATAAAAATGTGGGATACAAAGATTATACTTAAAAAACAAATCTGGCATCAACTTTCCAGTTAATAGAGAAATTATTAGAATCCTAGAAGAATAATTCTAGCTATATTTAATAATTATGTTTAATGTCGTTCTATAATATAAAGCAGAAAGCAAAATTTATTCATAGTTTAGTAGCATAGTAATTCTGTGAATCATTCCAAATATAACTTACATGTACACTGATTAACATGGCCTAAGAAATATCAGCCATCTTGAAGTAAGCACCATTTTTGCCAGTCTACCAAATATAACATTCTTGGCATTTATGCTTATAACTGGTATTAGAACTATTCTATCCCCTTAGTTGTAGAACTAATTAAGAAGCCATGTGTGTAAATGTGGAAATTTATTCCTGAAAATATTACTGAAGCAATTAACATTATTAAATTCTAATTCAAAATCACTATAAAAATTTTTTATAATTTCTCCACAGTCTTTCTTTCACAGACACACAGAAATCCAAAGCTTGTACCTGGTTAGGCTTCTAAATTTGAATTTTCATAATTGACTTTGAGGCTGATTTTCAAAGAAGTTATACTATCTAAAAATTTACTGCTTCTATGTTTTTTTAAAATTTACTTTTATTTGCCTAGATAAATTTAGAAAACAGTAACAGAGGAGAAGTAGTTTCTTCAAATAGTTGGTATCTTAGCTATTGCAAATTAGTCTCTTATCATACAAAATACTTATACAAATTACTAGTTATAAAAATATATAAAAATGTATTTATAAAATATGTAACACAGAATATATTATCTTTGTAAGAAGTATAAATTGTAGGTGGTTATGACAATTACTTTGCACAAAAAGTGAAAATGTGGAGTCCAGAAAATAATCAGAGAAAACTGTTTTTGTTTTTACCCCTCACCTCTGCCCCCACCAACACATATACAGTAGTCCAAAGAAAAATCAAAATCAAAGTGAAGTTAGGTCACAGGTAAGTGGTTAGAAATGATTACATAATATTCTAACATTATTCTAATAATTCTGTTGCTACTAACTCCAGTCTGCTTTAATATGTCATATTAGTACTTGCATATTGTTAATCTCCTTAAATTGATACTAAACCATCTTTGAAAAACCAGAGGTAAAGTAGTTCTATGCAGTACACTTCCCATAACAATAAGCTGGCCCAGGGTTCTTAAGGTCACAGTGGATAATGGATTAAGCTGAGGTTATAATTAAACATTTATTCAGAGTAATTTGTGAGTGTGACAGGAGTGGGTGTTCTCACGAGTCACTTTCTAATCATACAGTAAATGGCCATATATTTAGCTAACTTCAGTATAGAGATACAAATCTCTATATAGGGTTATATATGTGTATATGAATTATATATTCACATATATAAAATATTTTAGCTTTTTTGTTGCAAGCTTGAACCATTTTTATTTTCCGAAGCAATTCATCCTTTTCTTTTTATTAACTTTGCCCATGATATTCACCATATTATTTTATTATCAAGAAATGTTTTCATCTCTTTCATTCAGTAAACTCTTTCAGATGTGTTTGTAAAGCATATTACTGATTTGTAAAATGTGTCATTTTGATTTTCTAGATTTGAAATAAAATATTACCTTTAACATTTTTTATTTCCAAAACCTGCTGTTTTGGTAGTAAAAATATTGTGGTAATTTTAGCCACAATATTAGTCTGATTGTTGTCATGTTGAAGTGTTTTGCTGTTAAATATATAAAAACTTATTTTTATTGCAGTTTGTGTGTGTGTGTGTGTGTGTGTGTGTGTGTGTGTGGTGTTTGACAATCATGCATATTAGTAATTGCCTTAATAGTAACTCCTGTCCATTTCCACACCTGTAAAAACCCAAAAGGATTTTTCACACCACTGAAATACATGTGGTTGTGATGGCCTTAGGCAGGGTAATTTAGCTAATGGGATTTTCACCATACCCTAATTTCTTTTAGTGATATTCCACGGATCCCTGAGAGCTCCCATCCTCCACTGGAGTCCAGTGAGTTTAAGCTTTATTTGTTATTATGATATATATAGAATGGAAATAAAAAATAAGGATTTACCATTTGCTTTAGTTATTTGATATAAATGAATTGTTAATACTATACTAAGGTTATTTCTAATGATATCAGAAGTCGACAGCTATGGCAGTCATTGGAAACCCAAAGTTCTACTTTAAGATTTTTCTTTTTCTACCCCGCTTTTTTTTGTGGTGGATGTACCAAAATCTTTACTGGCAGTATACCCTCTGTGTCATAGTAGTCAAGACCATCACAAAGTTCAGTTAATATACCAGTACTAGTTCTGTTTGCTGTACATAAAAAGTTATTGTGATACTGGATTATTCGGTCTGATTGGTAATTAGCTCAGTTTCATGTGCTAGACTTCTAGTGAAAGAAACATGCCCACTAATATAATTTAAAAACAGCATAACAGTGTCAGGTATGATTGTGAAAGTAAGTAGGTGGAATAGAGGTAAAGTTCAGTGAATATAAGGGAGTCACAGGGCAGTGAGCCTAAGGGGTTGAATTATCTACATAGCCTTCAAAGACACTCCAGGTGATAGAAGATGACAGTACGTGTGATAAAGTCTAAACAGGTAATGAAGTTTTCAGTGAGAACGTGTAAGTGATACAGATAATTTACTTAGCAGTGGATTGGCATTAAATACAGTACCTTGGGCTTGATGACCAAGTGTTATTATGGACCCCATCTTATAGAAATACAAAATACAACATTATTTAAGAGGAAAACAAGTGATCCAAGTGATTATTGTTATAAGGCGGTAGAAAATGTATGGGTGGGATAAACAAGGAAGTGAAGATTAGCTTCGTATATCAACTGCCTACCAACATGCATACCTGCTAGATAAGCCCATATTTGGTTTTTGAGCTTTCTGATAACCAGTACACAGAAGGAAATGGGACCAATTACATAATTTATAGTGTCAATACTATTTAAAAATAAACTGCTATAATACTAAAATAAACTGATTATTAGAAGCAACAGTGTTCTTGTACTAAGACCCAAGAAAAAATTATCCTAAGGATCCTTGATAAAAGAAGCATAATAACAAAGAATTGTATGGAACTCTTTCTTAAAGTCTTTGCAGGGCACAAAGTGATGATATGTGACTTAATTTAGACTAAATTTGTGTGTGTTTAGGAAAAAAAATATATGGATGACATACCCTCAGGCAATACTCCATGAATGTTTTATCAATAAAGCTAAGTTTTGAATGGCTGTCGGTTTAAGATTATACTTGCTGGGGTAATAGCATTCTATAGACATTCTATACCGTGGATTATGTCAAGGTATACTTTAAGAGTGATATGAGAAGAAAGACCTCTCATTTAAAAAAGAGGGGAGGAAAGCCTCACCGAGTGGCTAAGTGGACAGCCAGCCTCCTCCACATGAAGGTGAAGTGGGTCACTTGTGGTGAATCACTGGAGACAGCATTCTCAGACACTTCGGAGATTCATTTCAGGATCAAAACTGAGAGAGATGGTAAATCTTATTTTAAAAGCGATAAATTCTAGGCTTAGATATGGCTCATAAGTTATACTATATGTGCATTCATTTTACTCTCAGCCAGGACAGTTTATAATAGGTGATTCTTTGGCCAAGATAATTAAAATAACAGGTACCATCTTTCTTATCACTACAGCCTGAACCCTTTACCTATGTATAAGGTTATGCAAGAATCTAAACTGTACAGATACCCTCCAGAAATGTAGAAAACCAATATAGATGGAAGCAAATAAATACAATATTTGATTATACCATTATAAATACTTTTAAAATAGGTAATTAACCAAAAAAGACAGTATGATCATTTTCTAGGAGTATCCAATTGGAAGTATGTTCTACTGTTATTGATGGTATTGAATTATGGTTTTATATAAATAACAGATGCATTTAAGATTCTATAAAAATATTGATTCCTACACATATATTATAAATGTTATTACAAATTACTTTTTTTTTTCTCATTTTAGGTTCAAGTTCCTTTGAATCTCAGAAGATGGAAAGACCTTCCATTTCTGTTATTTCTCCAACAAGTCCTGGAGCTCTAAAAGATGCCCCCCAAGTCTTGCCAGGACAACTTTCTGTATGTATTTTTTTTTCCATGTTGAGGACCATTAGGATTTGCTCACTATTCTGAGTCCATCCTTAAAAATGCATGGCTTTCTTTGAAGCCTTTGATACATTGGTAGTCACCTAACACTATAATCTATTTCAGCAATTTTGCATGTATTTATTAAATTATTAGATTAGCTCTTATTCATATATTTATTTCGAAATATTTACTGAGTGCCTACAGAGTACCCCAATGTTATAAACATTCAATGATAAATGACAAAATAGTAAATAAAATATCCATTATATTTTGTATGCGAGTTTCCAAGGTCAGTTGGTAAGATATAAGAAGCTCAGAAAGTCATGTTCCACTTACTTGACCTTATGAGCCTGGAGCCTAAAACAAAATTTAAAATACTCTTTTTACTTTGTAGAGACATTTAGTGAAACACTAAGTGATTATCTAATTATCACCCTCTGAGAAAGCTACAGTTTTTCTTATTATTGCTTTACATATGACGTGACGAAAAGCTGGAGTAATAAAGTGATGGCTTACTATTATGAAATGCCACGTCTATGTAGACTATGATGGAATACAGGACGTTTATATTCATAACTGAAAGAAACTTGCTTCAAACTGTTCTGTAAATAGTGTATTTTTTCTCCTTGGTAATGTATGGATTTCTGTAGTTTATTTTTGCTGTTTTTCTCTTGTCATTAATTAAAGAAGATACCTGTAAGCTCGATGTTATTTTTAAAACCATTCCTGGTTTTAACTTCTATTTTTAGTAGATTGATATCTTTATATAGTCCTTTCTGTTTATCTTACCTGCCCTGCCATCTTCGCGTGTGTGAATCTCTGAAACACTCCACCTATATTTCAAGAGGGATAAAAGTCTGTTCTGATTTTTTGAAAAACACGTCTCTGGTCTTAATTGAAAACCGAGATACAGATTCATATGGAATCAGGTTTGAATCCTTAATCTGCCCTGCACTATGAAAGACCATTCCTATGTTAAATTAGTTTATTTTCTTAAAGTGACTGTTAAATATGTTCCATATATATTGCCATTAGACAACTTTCTGTCCCAGTTCTTACTCAACTACAAAACCAAAAATAACTTTCTAAATAAAAAAATAATAATGTTAACACTATTTACTGCCAGCATAAATATATTGAATGCTGAAGTTCTCGTGTTTAGGAGTTCAACAATAGTATTTCAGTGTGCCATTCCCCCATTTTTCTTTATTCAAACTGTTATAAAACCTTAGTAAAAATATTATTTGGCCTTCAGTTCGCTGAAGGTATGTAATGCACCTTCCTGCCTTCCTTGTTCTTTTCTCCTTCTCTCATGAAAATTAACCAGTAATAGGTGAATTATGAAAAGTAAATAAAGAAATGGTTTCCTGATCTCTTCCAGATCACTTGGGTAAATTATTTATTCACCAAGCCTCATTTTATTTCAATGACATCTGGTGCTACAAAATGCATGTAGTCACAATAAGATCATTAAGTCACTTATAATCACCAAATACTGGCACTTAGCATTTAAAAACAAGGATAGTTATTTCAGTATCCATTTATTCCCTTACCTTTTTTATAAAATTGTTATCTGTTTTATTTTCATAACATGATCTAAGAGACTATAGCACTATAGGCTTGACAGTTTGAAGTCATGTCTAAAATACATAAAGAGAAAAGTCAAGTTGTAAGTGGTTATGCTTTCAAATTTATATTCTTTTCAAAAATTGTATTTATAATTATAATTCAAATGTTCTTCAAAAATAGTATTTTTTGTAGAAGGCTATACAAATAATTCCTTTCTTTATCGATCTCAGGTGAAGCTGTGGTATGATAAAGTGGGACACCAGCTGATTGTAAATGTTCTGCAAGCAACAGATTTACCGACTAGAGTAGATGGGCGTCCCAGGAATCCCTATGTGAAAATGTATTTTCTTCCAGATAGAAGGTAGTGAATAATTTTAGAAAAAAATATACAAAAATTCTTACTCATAGAAAAGGTAGAATATTGTCTCCTGGGATATAGCTTTATGTCTTTTTTAAAGCTTTATCAAGGTAAAATTGACATACCAAAATGTGGCACATAATTAATATGATGAGTTTGAACATACACATACACCTGTGATATAGTTTTAAAATACAATCATTCTCTATGAGGGAATAAACTTCCTCCCTGAAAAAAAATCCCTCAAGTGTTGTATTTTTTAAAAAATAATTTACCAATTTAAATTTTTTTCATTACCTTGTTTATAGATCTAGTAGTCGTGGATAGCTGTACATCATTTGGAATGTACCTTTGTGTATATATATATGTCTATTATCCTAACTACTGCTAATACTGTAGTTAAAATTAGAATAGTATTAAACTCTATGGTCTTTTTAGACTTTAATGTTAAAAGTTATGAATTAAAAATAGTAAAAATCCCAATAGTGGTATTACATGTCACTACAGTAGATGGCAGCACACACTTTATTTTGCTTTCTCATTTACAAAACATACTTATTTTTCAGTGATAAAAGCAAAAGGAGGACTAAAACAGTAAAGAAAGTACTAGAACCAAAATGGAATCAAACATTTGTCTATTCACATGTACATCGTAGAGATTTTAGAGAACGGATGTTAGAAATAACTGTGTGGGATCAACCAAGAGTACAAGAAGAAGAGAGTGAATTTCTTGGAGAGGTGACGTATATTGTAAAGATTCAAGCCAAATGCTTATTGAAGTTTTTGTGATATGTATTGATTATGATTGCTTTTATATTATGTTTTGGTCATGGGGCTTGATTTAATTTAAGAACTGCCCTTTCAGATCCTCATAGAATTGGAGACAGCACTTTTAGATGATGAGCCACATTGGTATAAACTTCAGACGCATGATGAATCTTCACTACCTCTGCCTCAGCCATCACCTTTCATGCCAAGGCGACACATTCATGGAGAAAGCTCTAGCAAAAAACTACAAAGTAGGTTAAAGTTATTTTCAGTTATGATAACATAATTAGTTATGATCATATTAGAGATTAACATTCAGGATATTTTTTCAAATGTTTATTAGACATCAAAATACTGGAAAATTATTTATCTATATAAAGAGACTGGGCAAAACTATTTTCTACATTTCCCTAATAAAAGTATTATGTACAGTACAATAGAGAGATTCTAGAGCTGAAAGTTTAAAAACTCTGAATTATCAGTCTTTGCCCAGTACTGATTGAATTGTTGATTGGTTAACTGGTAAAGTAATTGTTGTTATTATTGATGAGTTATAAAGTTCTTGATAACCTTATAGTTCCTGGGTATTTTTAATATTGTTATTCATAGGAAACATTTTTTAAGACACACTATAAAGTACATTTGTTGTTACTTATCTGGTGATTGGGAAAACAGTATTCTTTTCTGCATGTATCCATTAAAATTTGATATAGGACTAAATAATTAATCAGCTGAAGCTTAGAAGCTTCATTTTGGTAATCTAGAACCCAATTGTGTTCCTCATATAATTGAATTTTTCATAGTCATGCCTCTCTAATCAATCATATTCTCAAAGCTAATATTTAATGCAGTATAATGGCTAATTTTGAAGGATAAACATAAATGTTTTATAAAGGGCCATGATGCCATTTTTAATCGTATGAGCTCAGTAGAACTCCAGCCGAGAAGGTCTTTTAATCTTTCCACCCAGCCCCATCCACCCTGCACTGTGGAGAAGGGCACCTGACTGGGTAGTGAAACAGTTGTATACTTAAAGAATAATTTGAAACGTGAAAATCTTACTGTATGAAATTCCATTCCTTCTACGTCTTAAATGACTTAAGGAGGAAATACTGAGAAAACGTTATCCTTGGATCACTAACATTTTTTTAATCAGCTCCAGAAGTTGTGTTATTCTTGTTCAGAAGTATTTAGTAGTAACGTAACTAGCTTTAAAATAAATAAAAAAAAAAACCTTTATTTTTGACCCTGTACTTTACATTTCATAAACCAACAAGACACAGAGGTATCTGTTTGCCTTACTGTTGTGCAGGATCTCAGCGAATCAGTGATAGTGACATCTCAGATTATGAGGTTGATGATGGTATTGGAGTAGTTCCTCCAGGTGCGTGGGTGAAGAGCATGGCTCCGCTTCACTGTGCTTCTTATGCTTGTTTTCACTGTCAGTTTCCAGACTTATTTGATATACTGAACTGGAGATTTATAGCACAGAGAAATCAGTATTATATTATTCCATGGTGACTTGTGTTCCAAATTATTTTAAAAAAAGTTTAAATGTACTAGTAACTATTCATTTACATTCCCACTTAACTTAGGTTCTTTTCTAGAAGCATGGCTAGCTAGGTTGAAATCATTATTTCACAATGCTCTGAGCATAAGTAAAAATATGAATTTCATTTTGAAAGGATATGGTTCATTTTCTCAAATAAAAATTCCATCCTCCTCTTTTTTATATTTTATGCCTCCAATTTTCCTTCCTCTGTTTCTGAAAACAATGTAGCCTTCCATGGAATATACTGAGACAGGTGCATGGCAGGATTTAAAATTGCATGCAGCATGGCTTAACTTTTAATGCTTTTGTGATGTGTTTACCACTTATTATACTTAGAATGTGTATGTATGTATTAAAATAAGGAAATGCTTTAGAAAGATTCAGTATCATTTTAAGTCAACATCTTTTTGTCACTCTATAAGTTAGTACAAATTTTTGTGGCATTATGTGGTTCAAATCTCTGTTCCTCATCCGACTCTTTTTTGTCAGAAAGTTGAGAGAACCAAGTAGTAAAGGCTAATTTCCTTGGCACTAATCCTGTGTTATTTCCTTGATTTACTAATACAAAGGAAATATCAAATAAGAAGTAAGTAAAGTGAAAATCTTGGGACATATAAATATGAGTTACTAAAGGCATTTCCTTAGAAAATATTGACATATGACCCCTTAATTTATGTCATTTCTCAGATGGAGATGCACTGAATTTGAGGGCAATGATTTTGGTAAAGTCAGTAGATCGATTCCACACTGGTGACTAAATTCACAATTTGGAGAGAAACATACAACTTCTTTAAAACTATAAGAAATGATGGAGAGTTTTCTAAAATTAGCTTTTATTTGCTTCCTGTAATTCAGAGAAAATATAGTATTTAATCACTATATGACATTAGCAAATATTCTTAAAAACAATAAGTTTGCCGCTGTGCCCATCTTTAGATAATACTCTTTGATATCAGATGGGGAGAGTTTTAAATCATAGTGGGTAAAATTTAATGTTCTATTTTCTGTTTTGTTTGTAAAAGTATCATAATATTTAGACACATTCTCCACAGAAACTTTAGCACAACATTCAATAGAATATTATTTTTTAATAAAATTGAAAGTGGAAAGGTAATTGTACTTTTAAAAAGGGGAAAGATTTATGCGATCTGAAGAGAAACCAGAGTATGGTAATTGTACTTTAAATCCATTGAGATATTAAATAGGAATCAGATGATTCCTGGTAGGAAGGTCATCAAGCCTTTCTAACAAGAATCCTTGATGTTAATCAGCCTTAATGTTGTCATTACCAACTCATCTAAATAGAATTTACTTCTTTTTGTGGTTCTCACATTTTATTCACCTAAAACATCATATTTTTTATGATGAGGCAGGATAGCAAACGGATGACAGCATAAATGGTCAATTGAATAAATACTAAATTACTGAAATGGTAAGTTTTTTCTCATTTCCTGAGAAATCACACAGCTACCAAAATGGGAAGTTATGGGACCCACTACAGGTGGAATTAGTGCTTGAATACCACCAAAATCCACTGAGTTCTAAAAATATTTTTATTCCATACTACTGAAATAGCCTATCATGATTTTTATGAATGTGTATAATCTATTTTATCATATAGAAGCAGTGCCTAAATTATCATTTCAAATAATATTCATTTTAATTTAGTATTTAAAAAGTAATGAGGCAGATTTTTAATTGAATATAACGAATAAATAACCAATAAGTAATATGTTCCAGAGGTCTCTTCATAAATTAAAAAGGGAATTAATGCATTAATTTATATTTTCAGTTATACTCTTCCTTGATCCCAAAATGGACATATGGTAGCTTCTAAAGATACATAGATGTGAAAAATACAATGTAGCAAGTAATATACAATACATTTTAAATAAAGAGGAAAGATGAATCATTGATAAAATAAGGGCAAGCAGCTGAAATAAAGTGAAGGGATAAGCTAATAAGCATGTTGATAAATTCTCATGTGCTTTTAGAGGTCGACTACAAATGTTACTAAATTTCCTAGCATCCAATATGAAGAGAAATTTGCTTAGAGGTATATACTAGTTCTGCATATGTTCAGTATACTCTGAAGTTTCTTGTTCTGTGTTTCCCGAAGAAATTCAAAAGCTTTTTTTTTTCTTTCTGTTTTTGAGAGAGAGCATGAGCATGAGCGGGTGAGGGGCAGAGAGAGAATCCCAAGCCGACTGTGTGCTGTCAGTGCAGAGCCTGACATGGGGCTTGATATCACGAACATGAGAGCATGACCTGAGCCAAAATCAAGAGTTGACCACTTAACCAGCTGAGCCACCAGGCACCCCCAAAACCTGTATTTTGATGTCCTACCACAGCTGAACCTTAAATTTGCTTTTTAGATAAATATGCTTGCTTTTCTAGAACTACAGAGTTCTCTGCTGTTGTTCGATGCACTTATTAACATTTCTCCACTTAGGGAATCTAAGGTTTTGAAATTAGCTGAGACATCCAGAGCTACTTTTTATTAACCTTATCTTAATTTTGTTGTTATTTGAGATAAGTGATTTTAGCTGTTTAAGAAGAATAAAAATAATCATATACAGAATTCCCTTATATGGAACAAGACATGTGGTAATCTCAACTTTTCTGATAATTTTTGCAAACACAGAAAGTGAAAAACAAACTTTGGAGCAACTAAAACCTTGAAATGAGAATAAAATATCAGTTTCCTCCCACCTTTTTCTCAAGTTAGAATATTTGTTGTCAATGATAAATTAAACATAATACAAAGAAAATGAAATTATCTTGAAAAGCATAAAAAAACTGATTGAAGAGGGCACTTGTTGGGACGAGCACTGGGTGTTGTATGTAAGCCAATTTGACAATAAATTATGTTAAAAAAATAATAAAACAAATTAAAAGGTAAAAAAAAAACAGACAACTGTGAATACAAATTAAGATAGGATAAACAAAAAGTCTTACTTTCTACATAAATACAAAGAACCCAGGGGAATAAATTATTTATATCCTTTTCACAACAAGATTAAGCTACTTCATAGTAATTAATTATATCAAATATGAAAGTTTTATTTACATAATATGAATACTAATTGAAATCTTAAAATAGTACTCCCAATTCAGTTTTGACCTTACATAATTATTGTATAATTGATACAAAATGTTGTCAAGTGGTAACAAATGTTAATTTGAAATGTTTATGTGATTCGGACTTTGGATTAGTTATCTTTAAAAATAACCTTATCTTTAAAATATCTTTAAAAATAACTGTTTTATTATGAGCTGTGAAATAAATTCACTACATGTAAATTTAGTTGGTTTCTTTGTAGACTTAATATTGCAATTTATACAGCTGAACAATAACAAAGAAACTTTCCTACACAAAACTCAAAATAATAGCATAATTGCTATGATGTTTGTTATAAAATGGAATATATGAAATTATAAATTATAACATTTATGGTTATATTATCCAGTCATTATACTGATGTTTTCAGAATGACAGAATGGTTGAGCTTCTTTGATCTCAGTATTAACAAATTTCACTTTATAAAATGTTGAAAGACATTCCTTATATTTTAAGCTGAGTTAAAAAGTCATACAATCACAAAAAATAAATTGTTGGGGATTTTTAGTCTGCCTTTAATAATGATGTTTCATGACATATTTTAAAATAATGTAGGAGTTATCAAGTAAATAAATGAAGAACAGTCCAAACTGCCCAGTTAAATTTAATGTTTTCATGTTTCGTGTACATTTATGTAGTTGTAAATATAATCATTTTTCCTTTGGCCACAGAATTTTTTATTTTCCTTTCAATAATGACAAACAATGACCTTTGCAAAAAATTTTTAACTATTACTGTGGATTTGAGATTGGATTGCTGTTTTATCTTAACTAAGTCAGAGATGAGGTAAACATTTTTGCTTCAAGAGAATGAATTTTAGAATTTATTTCTAATTGCAGTTATGTTAACTGTATTTATTATGTTACCAATACATTTATGGAATAGATTCAGATGCCTTAGGTAGATTTGAGAATTGTTTCTATAGGAGGGTTAATTTTCGCTCCATTATTGCCATAATCCTCTCCATCCACACACTATTTTCACTTGAAAATTGAAGTATTATATGTGGTTTGCAAATATTTAGTATTTGCAGTAATGAAGATATGGTGCTTTTCTTTGTTAACTAAAATTGATAATGATGACATTTTCATTTTCTTACTTGCAAAGTTATCTGAAATTCAACTAAAATAGTTTATCATGTGGAAGAAAAATTCAAGTAACTTTTAAAGAGACACTAAATTTCTAAGCATTGACTTGTCTGTTAACTATAGTTCCCTGTCAAGTGCTTGATTTAGGTTGCTGAAAAATCACTTACATTCAGTTTTTGAATTAAAATAGTATCCCAACTCATCATAATGTCTGAGACATCAACTGTCATATTCATATTCAGTATCTCCATGGTACCTTTAAACAAATCTGTAGCCTGCTTTTATGCATGTATATGTTACACTCTGTGTACGTATACTTAATAGTTTTGAAGAGAAAGGCTAATAATACTGATTGCATGGCATTTGTTTTCATAGGTCACTGGCTGCTTTAGATGTAATCTGATATTTCCACATTACAGTTTACATTATAGAAAAATACTGACTGATCTTTTGTGTGTACTCTTGCCAGTAGGTTATAGGTCTAGTGCTAGAGAAAGTAAATCTACAACATTAACTGTGCCAGAACAGCAAAGAACAACTCATCACCGCTCACGTTCAGTATCTCCTCACCGCGGCGATGATCAGGGAAGGCCGCGTTCACGTTTACCAAATGTGCCATTACAGAGGTAGGCTTTGAGATGGGCTTAGTGTCTCTGAAAATACTTTTTAATTTTAAAACAATGTAAGCTGCCACAAGACTGTTACTGAAATGAAATAATGGCTTGGACAGTCAGGTTCTTTTCTTCAGAATCATTTGTAGCCAAAATGTCTTTTTATTCTTGAATCACAAGAATTTGTTTTTTCCAGGGAGTCGAGGAAGTTTATGTCCCAAGGGCAGTTTTTTAATAACTGTCTTGTATTCTGTTTGCTAGTTTTCTCTCCTGTTAGGAAAAATAGTATGATAGTGAATAGCCTGTGGAGAGAAACGGCAAAGAGGAAGAGGTTAAGAGGCAGAATGTATTTTTAAGAAATTTAGAATTGTCTTTGAAGCACTTTAAATGCTTACAAAACTATATAAAGCTTGACAGAGGTGCAAAGAAGGTTGGAGAAACGTAGCTCCGGCAGAGCACTCAGAGCACTTCAGCTCATTGATAATATATGTATTTGGTTATGATGCCAATACTTTTTAAGTCATGCCAGTTTTTTGCCAGTTACTGTCAAATCTTACCCATTAGTCTGCCTGATTTGGGAAGATGATACACTTTCATGCATACGAATTTTTGTAATCATTTTAGGAGTTTAGATGAAATTCATCCAACAAGAAGGTCACGTTCTCCAACCAGACACCATGATGCCTCCCGAAGTCCAGTTGATCACAGATCCAGAGATGTGGATAGTCAGTATTTATCAGAACAAGACAGGTATTTGTTCAAATTACGATCTCAACATTATAACTTTCTGTTTGCTCTGTTTTAATATATGAAAGATATCTTGGCATAGTACATTAGAAAGTAAAAGTATTTAATCACTCAAAACTGAACTCTCAAGGAACAACTGTTTAAGATATTCTAATAGAAACGCAACTCTAAGAAATATTTGGCTAACATTATATTGTCATTATGTGTGCCTTTTTTTAGAGATCAAAATTTATGTTTAGCCAGTTAAAAATGTATAGCTTGTTGTTTCTAACTTCTAGAAGGAAGCTTACCGAAGCAATTTTCAAATCTTTTATATTTTGTGGGATGTAGTCTTTGGGATGTTATTTATGTCATTATAAAAAATATGTTTTTTATGTTATTAAACAATTTTGGATACAGGTCATATGAAAGATAATTAATGTTGCAGAGTTTCTGTGAGGATTTCAGTAATAATATTTTTATATACCTAATTTTCATAAATGTATTTCTATAAAGTACAAAATAATCAAGATGGATTTTTTCAGATGAACAAGAACTTCCTGGACACAGTTACTAAAAATCTATATTATGACTCAATTGTTCTACATGCCCATAGACTTTCTTCTCAAACGAACCATATAACCGTGTGATATGCTAGACCACAAGCCTGGAATCTGAATTAGGTTTTAGGAAAACCATCTTGTTCAGTATCGTCTTCTGGCTTTTTAGAGTGGTGAAACTTTCAGGAAGGAGTAGGGAAATGATACAGTGGTGCTTAATGATTGATTTTAGCTGTGAAGTCAAGGACATAAAACTCAATAGGGCTTCTTAACCCTTTATTGTCATCCTACTGTGGGAAGTGATGCCATGACCTTCAAGAGTGGAGTCGTATAGGGTACTGAGACAAGAACTGCTCTGAGGAATAGGATTCCACACTGCTCAGTCCGAGTTGAGTGAGGGACACTTTGTCAACATTCATTGGGGCCACTAATTTTAGGTGAGGATGGAAAAAAGGATTCTTGACCAAGGCATTTAATAAAGTGAAATTAATTTGAGTGTAGAAAAAGTGTCAATTTTAAAATAAAACAATTCTAATCGAGTATATTCATGATTGGTTAAAAAAAAAAAACTAATATGTGAAACTGTGTTTTTAGTGGCCATAGAAACCAAGAGGACTATCATGCTTATGGTTCCAATTAGCATCAGAAAGGCCAGATATATAGGACTTTCAGAGGTCTTTAAAAACATCCAAGTATCTGGAATTGGAAATAGGTTTCTAATGTCTTATCTGGGGAAGGTTTAGTTTAGTTCTGTTTTAATATTCTGTAAAGTCACTTGGAGATACAATAGCAAATCAGCAACAGCTAGGACTTTGACCATAATGTTTGTACTTTATTGTTTAAATTTTTAAAAATACTGTCATGTTTCTTTTTGTTTAACCTCTGAAGCAAATATGCTAGTGCAGACAATCTGGTTTCTTCCCTTTTCATGTTTTCATCGGCATACCATTGGCATAAACCATGTCATTTAATGCCTCATGATTTATCTGTTCCATTCACCACCCATCCTGTCTGTGCAGTGAGCTTCTTATGCTGCCCAGAGCAAAACGAGGACGAAGTGCAGAATGCCTCCATACTACCAGGTAAATACAGGGATTTGGTAATGGTAACTGTGTGTGATGGCTCTTCTTTCCATTCTACTATTCTTTCTTCTCTCCCTTAATGGTATGATGACAGATATGTTAAATTACTTCAAAATCTGTTTTGTTTTATTGGAGGTTGTGGAAAGGTTCCAAATATATTTTAATTCTAATCCAGGCAGACTGCTTTTCTGTTTGTATATTCAGAATCCAGAGACTGATTGATGAGCCTCTGTGGAACTGTTTTACACATTCCTAAAACTGAGGAACCGATTTCTGCAATTACAATTCTAAATGCTCACCCCAGCCCCCTAACAGTACACACACATACCTGTCTAGTCACAAGAGGTCTGATCTGTGCATGGCAGTGTTACTGTTTTCATGATTATAAGTTTGTTTTAGCCTTTTTAAAATTTCCTTTTGGATTCTACTATTGTTGATACTCTGCTTTTATTTATTTTTCTTTAAATGTTTGTTTATTTATTTTGGAGAGAGAGAGAGAGAGAGCACAAGTAAGGGAGGGGCGGAGAGAAAAAGAGAGAAAGACACAGAATCTGAAGCAAGCTGCAAGCTCTGAGCTGTCAGCACAGACCCTGACGCAGGGCCCAACCTCACTGACCAAACCATGAGATCATGAGCTGGGCCAAAGTCAGATGCTTAACCAACTGAGCCACCCAGGTGCCCCACATATTCTGTTTGCTTTTAATAAAACTTTCATCAGTCACTTTTTGCTGTCTGAGCATCAGCTTCCTTCTTGATAAAGAATGAGAATATTTGACCTCTAACTTCTTAACCTTCCCTCCCTCCATCCCCCAACTAGTCCAGAAGGGTTGCAATACAGACTTCCTCCTAAAAGCATGTAACAAACAATATGATGCTTCTTTAAAGATAAGAAAAGGGAATGGAATATTCTCCTGTAAACTGGAGCTAAGAACCTGGTACTTTATTTTCATCTCATTACATCTTGGATTTCATATCCAGAATAAATAAGTTAATTCATAAATCTCTTACAGATTACTCATAAAATGCAGTCTGTAAAAACTTATTATCAATTTGGAGTTAATAGAAAGTAAGGAAGTAGAAAGTCAGTGAAATAAACCAACACACGGATTCTTTCAAATACTTTGGCCAATAAAAGTAGGAACGCGATGGGAAGAGCTGGAACTGGAGCACCTGTAATATACATGGTCATTTACAGGATTTATTTTGTCTACATGGAACTTGCGGTTCTGCTCAGTATTGCAAACATGGTCATGCTAATAAGAATTGTTTCAACTTCTTGTATATATATTAGCCTACTGATAACTACTTCCATGTTTGTTTGTAGCACCACGGGAAAAAATGAGGAAATTTTAGTTATGATTGTGAACTAGGGAAAAATATAAAATGAGAAATGTTATAAAAATTATCTCAAATCCTTTATAATTCTCAACTGCCCAGGCTTATTATTACTTGTTCTTATCTTCAAAGTATATCATATTATATTTACTTTGGAATTTTGAGAATTTGCTATTTTCTAGCAAACAAGGAAAATAAAATTCCTTGGCCACCAAGCATAGTGTCATCATTAATATGCTTTATCTCAGTTCCCTGGCAGTAATTATATGATATGAATGTTATTACCCTAATTTTACAGATGAGGAAAGATCTGAGAAAGTTTAATTTTATAAGTAACAGAGCAAAGATTCAAAACCAGGTCTATTGACATTTTCCATCAAACTGGTTGTTCCAAAATTAGATTCTGAGGAGTTAGTGCTATGCCAGTAAGAGAGTTTGTGAGTCAAACAGATTTTGGAAGCTTTGCAAATTATAGTCCCTCCCTACTGATTTAAGATGCACAGTATGTTAAATATACTATACTAAAGAAATCTGTCTGATCTTGTTTAATTCATTTTCTGCCTATTTACTTTTATAATTAATACATAGTATCTAATTATTATATTTATAACTTATAATTATTATAATTTAATACTTATAATAATTAATGTTTATTTACTTATTTAACTGTTAAACCATTTTTTCATAAAAACACAACCCAAGAATGTAATGTTGTGCAGAAAATTCAATAGCTTCCCATCATTAGGTGGCAAAGCCAAAGCAGGAATTTGGACCTTCCTACTATAAGTAAATATGCTATTTTCCATTCTGTTTCACATTCTTTGCTAATCCTTGTTAGAGTATTCCTGAATAACTACTTTTGAACCAGTTGCTTTAAAAAATTATATAGCAACCTGTTATTAAAGATATTTTGCTAAGGTTAGGAGTTGAAAAGAAGACTGTTGTCTGTGAAGCAGACTGAATCCTTAGTTTCAATAAAATTTGTCTTCATTTGGTGTTCAAATATGATACTCTAATGCATTTTTAAACTGAAGCTTTAAGAGATTTCCTTTGACTTGGCCATTATTATAAATATGAGTAAACCAGTGGGGTGTTTATCGTATTTTAATGTAGGCCGAATGGACTAGGGACTTTCATAATCAGCAATTAAATTTGTAGAAACATTATTAAATTACCAAAAAAATTAATTAACTAGAGCTAGTTTGTTCTTGGTGTAGTACAGACCCCCATAGACCTTAAAAGAATTCAGATGAAGTTAAGCTTTGTTCTGCCATTTTCTGCCAAATCAAAATCCATATTCTCGTGTACACCTGTTGCCCATCCTATTTGATTTCCTGTGATAAGTTTTACCTGTGGTTGGATTTGGATTCAGAAGCTGATAACTGGGAAGGATTTCCTCCACTGCAGTTACTTGATGTGTTGGTCATGCCTTCCCTTTCTGTAGTCTGGTGCCGTGACCAGCTTTCTCCCTGCCATGCTGCTCAGCACTTTGCTGATTACTAGGATGTTAACAATCTCAGTCACATTTTAAGTCCCAAATTACATAAATAATTCAGTTAGTATGTTTAGCCATGAGTTGTTTCCTTCCATAGCAGCAGGTATAATATTAAGTCAAGGATTAAAGAGTACATTTAAATATTGATTAACTCATAAAGGTTTGTTAGCAGATATTTTTCAAGTTAAGGAAATTAAATTATAATTTTGATTCTTTATCTTAATTATGAAGACAAATGTCTCTGATTCCATATATTAATAATTCTTCTACCTTCAAATAATTATTGTGGTTATTCTGAAAAAAAAAAAAAAAGATGCATCTTTGGTTTTAGCTTTATAGGCCTCCTACTGTTTTTGTGTCTTCGTAAAATTTGTTTCATCTATATTTTTCTGTTCCCTGTGTGTTTGTGTGGCCATGTTCCAGACATTTTGGTAGGCACTATAAAACATTACCGCCTAAGATGCCTTTATTAGAGAATGGTTCTCACTGGAATATTTACAGGTAAGAGTCATGACAGTGAGTCCCAGTTATAAACTAATCCTGAATCCCTTGCCTACTAAAAATAACAAATTTAAATTTTAATAAAGCACTACCATTTATTCTTGAAAGTAATTATATGCAGAGAAACATTAAATGAATGATACCTAAAAATAACTTTAATTAATTATAAAACTTATTCTAGATTATTTCTCTAAATGAAATCTAATTACTCAAACATCAGAATTCTAGTTGTCTTGTCATTTATGTTGTTTTGCTTGTTGATTTTAATATAATTAATTTTATATTATTTTATTTTTGGATGATTTTAATTTGTGAAGCTCAATTCTGCCTGCACATACCACAACCAAGTCAGTGACTAGACAGGATTTTCCCCTTCATCATGAATGCTTTAACGCAAGAGTATTTACTGATGAAATATTGGTTAGGTAAGAACATTTGGAAGTCATGCCTGCCACTTCCCTTGTCTAGTGTTGTGACCCAAAATAGTTGAGTTGTAAATTTTTTCTCCTCTGATGTCCTTCATTTTGTTTTGGTGTGGCATCTGTTCTTGGTAGTGAAGTTTTAGGCATTTTGTTTCAGTGCTTTTTGTATCCAGTTTTTTCATAAGAAGGTGTGATTTTAGTCTCATTTTTTTTTTCAGTCTGAGACCCTTTTAAAAGAAATTATGCAACCCAATTCAAGCATAATCTTTGTTTAGTTTCATTTTCTAAACAAAATTTTGCACTGCCATCCTGTCAGCTCTCTCACACCCTTATGAACTGAATCACGGTGATTCTACATTTTATGTAAAAGGGACATTATTTTATGCTTTACTCTCTAACACGGTCTTCCTTTCTTTGTTCTCTCTGTCTTTCTCTTCTACCACTGGATGCAATGCACTGGCACTAGTGAACTGCAGCCCTCCCTTGACAGGGCTAGGAGTGCTAGTACCAACTGCTTGAGACCAGATGCTAGTTTGCATTCACCAGAACGAGAAAGGTATAAAATAAAGACTTTCTTAATTTCCTATCATTTGTACTAGTGGGTTTTCTTTTTCCCAATCACTTTGTTTTGTTTCGTGTGAGTCCCACAGGTTTATTCATTCATGTTCACTTTGCTAACTGTCTCCATTCTCCCTCCCCTTATTATACGTGTCTACCTAGAGATATGTGTATGTGGGTCAGCCCGAGGGTGCACATACACATATTTCCATGAATGTTGTTGCAAATGGTGTGATGTAATTTGTAACCGCTTCTGGCTGCTGCTTTTTCCCTTCTGTTGCTGTTCAGTGGTTTTATTTACACACTACTCAGGGAGCCTTCAGTATGCTGATAATGTGACAAGGTCCAGGGAGTTATCTGAAGGGAAGGATCACTTTCCTATTAGTTCCCATGATAAATAGTATTTGTAGGTCTCAGCAGTCTTCCGCAAACTTACAGCAAAAATTCCGTTTAGGTAGAAGACTTCCCATGTGAATTTGTATTCACTGATTAGTCAACCTACTCTTTGATATAGATCATGTTTTGCAGTAAGCTATATTTTGACGACAAAATGGTATGTTTTTCTTAGATCTTGTGATGCCTTACAAAATAAATGCACATTATATACACACACAGTTTTGCTTAACACTTTTAATTGATTGTTTAATAAATAATTCTGATTATAATTCAGATGTATTCAGTGTTTTCATATTACACTACCTCCAAATTCTGAGCAGCTAATTTTTCCATTGTAGTGGAACTTTCTATCTCATTAAACTTGGTTATCATTGATAGTCTTGGATGTAATTGTTACTTCTTTTCAATTAGAAATCAGTCACCAGAGATTTATTTACTCCCTCTTTACAAATCCAGAAGAAAAAAAATGTTTAATGACGCTAACGTGTAACCCATTTCTCTTCTTTAGAGGCTGCTTAAAGCTTTTCTGTAGTAATCGCTCTAGACTGAATCTGTTTATTTATTTATGAGCTGTTTATTTCTAGATTTGAATAATAGGTACAAGTATACACACCTTTTTTTTTAACTGTTGTCATAACATTTTACTGAAAATTTTACTTTTTTATTTTTAATTCTTTTGTATTTGTATATTCTGTAATAGAAGTCAGTAGAATCTCACTTATATGTTGCATTTTTTTTGTATTTGTAATAGAAATTTTAGTTGAAATGGCTGTCAACTCTTCTAAAATCACAGCTGAAATTGTTCTCTTTTTCCTCTTTTGTTCTATATTACTCCTTACCCCTACCAAGGAAAAAGTAAATACAAGAGTAGCAAGAAAAATCTTTTTATATATTTTACTTATTTTTATTTCCTTATATGTTTCTGTTTGGTATTAAAACAAAACAGAATTGCTCAAGTCAGTAGAATATTCTGACTACAACAATACCATCACATTATATAAGTGCTAGCTAATAGAAATATAACAAGCCCCATTTATAATTTTTAATTTTCTGGTTACCATGTTAAAAAGATTAAGTTAATTTTAATACTTTACCCAGTATATATTTGACATGTCATTTTGACATATAATCAGCTAAAAAATGTAGATCGTTTGTATGCCTGTTTTCATAGTGTTTAGTAGACACTGGAGGGTTGTAGCTACTGTATTGGATACCACAGGTTTATTCTTATGCTGAAGCCTATCTAGCACGTGTTCCCTTCTTGCACTAAAGCCATAGGGTTCACAAATCCATATGTTGGTGTATTTAACCTCTCAGATAATCCTCTTAAAATAGATCAGCCCGTAGACAAATATTCTGACCAGGTTATTATTAGACTTTAGTCACAGTGAAGTCTAAGTGAGTGTACCTACTTTGATAGAAGAAAAATATGATTGAAATCTATATTCACTATATATTGAATACAAAGAAATTTTTCATCAAACAAATGAAAGGAGACAGAGGGGTAGGAATTGGTATTATCAGTGATCTTTAATTTATTGCGGTCAGTTTTATTGCCAAGAAGAAAATAAAGTGAGGTAGGTTTCATCAAGAAAATTACAGAAGTTGTAGATTATTACTGGTTTGGAGGATAAGGACTTCAGATGCCCTTTTGTCCACACGCCTATAAGCAGCTTTGAGGCAGAACATCATAGTATCAACAGTGGTGACTTTGTTCTCTTTGGAAAATGCAGCTAAAGTCCCTAGACAGGATATGCAGAGTAGGAATAGAGAGGTTTAGAGGGCTTTCCAGGTTACTAATTTCTCTGACTGAGCAGAGAGCTTCTTATGCTAATGCCTAATTTATACATAGTAGATAAAATGTTAGAGAAACATTTTAAAACATTATTTCATATACTTAAGATAGTAATATATTTCCACAGCCTCATGAACTTAACAAGTTGCTGATCCTAAACCATTTTGATGAATGTTTGTGTGTAGTTATATCAACTCATTGCCCTTTTCTGAAGTATTTTCACTAACTTTTAAAACAAATGAAGTATTGTGTCAATACAAAGAATGAAAGTGTTAAAGCAGACTCAATATCCAACACCATAGCTCACTAATGATTCAAAGATAAAGGAGCACCAGGTACTGGTAACCTTTTCTTGAAGGAGTCCCAAACCACCGGATCCATTTTTTCTCCTTTAATTAGGATGGTTTGGCCCAGGCTAACTAATGCATGTAGAAACACTGTTTGCAAAGGAAGCCATTTCAGTTTTTGAGTGTCTTCATTATATATTCTGTTGATTACACAAATAACAAAAGTAATTATGGATTACCCCGTTGCTCAATCTAGTCATGCTTAAGAAATTAAAATTACAATAAAACGTCTAGAAGGACTATTTCCTACTAAAGATGTCTAATACAGGACACTCTTTTATCTTTTCATTAGCAAATACCACTGAATATTTATAAGGAAGTTTAGTTAAGGCGGATTCATTTTTCCTTCATCTTTATTCAGGGTCTGTTTGAGGTCATTCATTCCCACCTTGTTCCCTGTTTGGGAATGAAAAAGTTACAGGCCTGCCATTAACCTTATCTTTCCCAGATTTTAAAACAAATTATTACTTAAATGTTCAGACACATTTATTTTTAGAGCTACTGGAGAAGTTATTTTTCTGGGATGTTTTCTCTTCTTCCTTGACCATTCACAGCCTTACTGAAGGCTCATGAAATGGTAGTCAATACTTACTTGCCTCCATTTTTTAACTTCCTAGTAAATCCTGCAGTCTGATTTCTACCCCTTACAATGGCTCTACCACTATGCTGACATTCCTCTACAAACTACACTGGCTCCCTAATTGTCCAGAAGCATCTTGCAACATGTTACATTAACATCCAGTCACTTGAGCCTCTCTTTTATTCAGTACCTTCCACAGATTTTCTTTCTTAGGCCCCACTTATGACACAGTCTCCTCTTGCAGGCTTCTCTTCCTATCCCACCCTACACAGATCAGCGTTCCCCTGACTCCCATCTTCAGTTTTCTTTTGCCCCACTCATTCTGTCCCTGAAATTATATTGCTATCAAAAATTTCCCTTTAATTAATACATATGAAAACAACATGCTACTGTAATTGACCAGGCCAGAACTTTCCCTTGAGGCTAGGTCTAAATTTCTAAAAATTGCCACTTGTGTACATCAAAATGTCTAAATTGGGGCGCCTGGGTGGCTTAGTCGGTTGAGCGTCCGACTTTCGCTTAGGTCATGATCTCATGGTTCGTGGGTTCGAGCCCCGCATCGGGCTCTGTGCTGACTGCCAGCTCAGAGCCTGGAGCCTATTTCAGAGTCTGTGTCTCCCTCTCTCTCTGACCCTCCCCTGCTCACGCTGTCTCTCTCTCTCTATCTCTCTCCTAGAAATAAATAAAAAATATTTTAAAAAATGTCTAAATTAAATTCATTATCTCCCCTTACATCCTTTCTTTTTTTTTTTTAAGTTTATTTAATTATTTTGAGAGAAACAGAGACAGTACAAGTGGGAGAGGGGGAGAGAGAGAGAGAGAGAGAGAGAGAAAGAGAGAGAGAATCCCAAGCAGGCTCTGCATTGTCAGCACAGAGCCCAATGCGGGGCCTGAACCCATGAGCCGTGAGATCATGACTTGAGCTGAAACAAGAGTTGGATGCTTAATCAGCTGAGCCAGCCAGGTGCCACTCCCCTTACATCTTTTTATAGCAAAATACTTTCTCTTCCTAAATTTTCCTCTTATTAGGGTGGCTTTGACATATAACAAGGCACATTACCTGGAAGTATTTTTCCTGTTCCTTCATATTGTGAATCAGTAAATCTTATCAGTTCCCTTTTCAGAATCTCCCAAACAGATCCCTTACCTCAGTTATATTGAAATATATGATAGCCCTTCCCTTGTCACTCTGGCCCCATTAATTTTTTTCATATGAGCTTTATTAATGGTATTTATTCCTTTTTGTCTCAAGTTTTCTATCCGTTAAATTTAAATGCCATTTTTCTTTTGTTGTCTGCTTAAAATTTTTACTCATTCTTCAAAAATTTAGGTCAAATAACCACAGCTTTTATAAAACCCATTTGTACTCCCACCCCACCCCCTTCCCTTTTGTCAGTCAGAATTATTTACTTTCTTTTCTGGGCCCACATACTATTATATATTTCTATTAAAACACATTATACCTTACTTAGGGTGTTTGTTTCTTTTGCTGTATTGTGTTCCTGGAGAACAGGGATCATATCTTATTTGTCCTTGCCATTTCTTGTGATAGCATTATTATTTTTTACTTAGTAAATGCTCAATTTGGAGATTTGGGGAAATTAAAATATACATCCTATTTTCTGCTCCCTAATTTGTGTCTAATTGTGAGCTAGACTCAAGAACTAGAAGAAGAGAGATCTAATTATTACCATAAATACAATGAACAAGTTTAGATGCTGTGACTTTAGGTCTATAAGCTTGTTATTAACTCACCCTCGAATCAGCCAAATTCACAGACCCATACGACAGGTTCAGGCCCAGGCCTCACATTTTAACAGCTGCTTTGTAGTTTTGTGTCCTGTAGACTTTATAGTTTGTAGGTGGCTTGATTTGGAGGAATAATCCAGAAAGGACTGAGGTACCTGTGCCTGGTCCTTTAATATAATCACTGATCTTATAAGCCAGTCCTCCTTTCTTGGGGTAGATTGAGGCAAAGGGTAGAAAGAGACCAGGAGCGTTGCTTGAATAAATTTACCTCCACCTGGAAACATGAGGACTAAGAGAAAGGAGGTAGTTACCTAAAACTTAACAACTATCAATTGAATTAAAACAAACTGATGTTGAATTAAAATTAAAAAAAGCAAAATATAAGTATCTGTATTAATTTTACTTTAAAACAATATTGGGGAAAACGAGGGTTTTTTCTTTTCTTTTTTCCTTTTATGTATTTTTTGTTTCAAGTTTTTATTTAAATTCCAATTAGGTAATATTACACAATGGTGTAATATTAATTTCAGGAGTAGAATTTAGTGATTCATCACTTAATATATAACACGCAGTGTTCATCATGAGTGCCCTCCTTAATACCCATCACCCATTGTTTTAAAGATTTTCTTTTTAAGTGATCTCCGCACCCAATGTGGGGTTCGAACTCACAATCCCGAGATGAAGAGTCACATGCTCTTCGGACTGAGCCTGCCAGGTGTACCCCATCACACATTTTTTTAAAGGACTAAAATAAATACTGGGATTAGACAATAAAAATACATACTATATAATCAGTTGTCTCATTTGTTCAGATTTAGGTTCTAATATTACAGTAATTCACAGACTTCTTTAAATTTTTTAAATGTTTATTTATTTTGAGAGAGAGACAGAAAGTGAGCAGGGGAGAGGCAGAGAGAGAGGGGGACACAGAATCCAAAGCAGGCTCCAACCTCTGAGCTGTCAGCACAACCCAGTGCAAGGCTCAATGCAAGTTCATGACGTGAGCTGAAGCCAGACACCTAACTGACTGAGCCATCCAGACACCCCAATTCACAGATATTTCTTGTGCTATTTGTGGAGTGAACGGTTTACATTTCCATATAATTTCTCTTTTAGATAATTAAGCTGCTTTTCCATGTTCTGCGAAGAGATATGCGTCTTTGAAAGATGTGTACATATGCAAGCATAATAATTTGTTGCACATTTAAGCACACACACACACACTTATTTTACAGTGTATCATTGCTGGGGGAAAAAGACATGAAGTGAGATCCATTTAATTACATATTAAGACCTGTCAATTCTACTTCCTTTATATCTCATCAATGAGTCCCCTCACCACTGGTAATCTGTTACTTAAGGTTCTCATTGTTTCTTACCTGTATTAACTTACTATTTACTTGGATATTCACAAATATAAATTGACTACTTATTCTTTGCAGGGCATACTTTATATAACTGTCAAAACTCAACCAAAAAAACACTACAGTTCCTTATGTAAGGAGCTCGGAGCCTGTTTTTTCAATCCCTTAACTGTCAGAGTGACCTTTCTTCTACTGTGATCACAGTGAAAGGGATAAGCTCCCAACACATAGAGGTTCCTAAATAAATGAATTTCGGATACCTGATGTTAAAACGCAAATATTGTAACTAACCAGTATAACTTGTAGGCAAGCTATTTTGGAAAGAGAAATCAAGAAAAGGAGCTTCATGATTAGCAGTGGCACCGTAGCCTGCCATGCTACCTTCCAAGATGAAAATGGAAGTTGAACCCTATGGTTTGGCAAAATAACAAGAGGATAAAGATTAAAATTTTGGCCTTTTCTTCTGTGTAATAGAAGAGAAAGAAGTTGCACACAATTTAAAAGCATGTAAAATATCCTAGTATATTTGAAGGTCACAAATGTGTTCTTTTAAAACTTACGTAATATCTAGTCTTTGGATAAATATTGACCATAAATTGACCTTGCCTCATATTAAATATAAGATGGAAAAGCAAGTGGGTTTATTATATTGGTACCATATATCAGCATATAGAAGGACTTTGAGTGTACAGATAATCCATGTATGATGCTAAATATTTTGTCAAAAATTTTCTTTTAAAAGCTTGCATTCACAATTGCTTGTTTCCAAATGTACACCTTTCTCCTTCATAGCTTTTCACTGCATGTTTCATGATTACAGCATTTTTCTTTACTTTTTTGTTTAAATAAACACAAGGACTGGAATTTTGCCTCAAGAAGCAAGGTTTCTCATGATCCTGTCAAGTTAACATTACTTATAACTTTTCAGAAAACACATTAGCCATATTTTTGTGTTTCCATATCCTGTAAAAACTTTCAGCACCTCAGGTTTTAACATGACTGAATACAGCTTCATGTAAAAGACAGGGTGGTTATGATTTCAATTATTTTAGAAATATTTTTTCCTTATTGTTTCTGCAGAACAAAAACCAGTGAAGTGAAATACATTTTAAGGCTTTTGGATTGGATTGACCAACTATGTAAATAATCTAAAATTACTATGTAATTTCAAATTAATGCATAGTATTTTTAATTTCACAAACATGTAACATTTAAGAGTACTTGTCACACAGTTTTCTCTTCTGCCCAAATCCTGCTGTGGAATATCTTTATTTGTTTCACAGCTTCCTCAGAGCCCTACTTGAATCATGACAAACTTGTTTTAAGGCTTATTGATTAAGCACAGGCTTCCAAAGGGCTTTCAGAATTGAGTACCTGCTGATCTCAGATATCCTGGTCAAATGTGACAGCCCTTTGCTGTTTTTGTCCTGATTATCTAATAAATCCAATAACCCAAGTGAAATGGCAGAAAAAAATACACATTCTTTTAAACGTTCATACCAATCTACTTTGGATAATTATAAAATCTTATATCTAGGTGAGTCCTTAAAGATCATTCAGTTATCCCTTGTTGCATAAAAGGAAGCCAATATCCAGAGAAATTATCCTGTTTAAAGTGCTCATATCTAATATGTAATAATTTCCAAATCTGGCCTGCTCTGTCCCTTATTACCTCTTTTCAGTTTCCAACTAGGTGTTTGTAATTCGTGGTTATACACAGAATCTCAAGATAATTTAACAAAGAATGAACCAATATTCAGATTTTCATTTAACTGTCAATCACAGAAAAGTATTATTGTAAATACAGAAATAAAAAACAACTGTGTAATTTATTGGAGGATACTTTTGCAAATAAAGATTTGCAGAATTTTTTTTACAGGTAATGCCATTTTACCATGGCATCTGTCTATATTTCCCACTTTTGTCCCTCAGTGTTTTATACTCACAATTTTTAAATTTCAGTAATTAGTGCTACGGGTTTCGCCAAGAAAATTTGTTAAGATTTCACTGGTTAGCATTCCTATGAATTATTTCTTTATGCCATTGTTTCTACACTAAGGAACATTTTTTTTCTTCTTTCACTTAAACTGTGTTTCTGCTTTGTGTTAAATTCACACACCTCATCTTTGCCACTTTATCCAGATATTTCAACACCTAGTATCAACTAAGCATTGGTAGCTTATTAAACCTCTTTTATTCGAACATATGCCAAGTTCTTAAGGGTGCATCTTTTTAACTTAAAGTTATATATATGTGTGCAGATGTGTGTGCGCAGACATGTATACACACACAAGCACAGTTTAAAAGAACATACTTACACAGATTTCAAACATCTTCCCAAATAAATTATTTCTCTCTTCACTTATAGGGTAACAAGATATATTTTCTTACAACATTATAAATTATCTTTCCAAGGCTTATTAAAACCAAGAGTAAGTTGTGGAGCAAAGAAGCTACACTTTGCCTTTTTGCGGTGCTTTTCCAGTCCTGTTGTTCCGTATATTCTTTTATGTTAGAAGTTACTAAATGTCCTGTTTTTTCCTGTCTTGTTCATTGGGCAAACAGGGGTAGATGGTCCCCCTCCCTAGATAGGAGACGACCTCCTAGCCCCAGGATTCAAATCCAGCATGCATCTCCGGAGAATGACAGGTACTAGCCAACTCCTCCTCACAGACAAGTGGTTTCTACAGGCTTCTAGGCCACCAAGTGAAGGATGACCAAGAGGAATGTGGGTTGTGATATGCATCCTTTCAGGAGCCAGAACCACATATGTTGCACATTCACGTCTAATAACACACCTCAGAGTGTTTCCTGAAATGAGAGTGGTGTGCAAATACCGTAATTTAAACAAACTAAGCCAGATCCAGTGGAAGAGTTCTGCTTTAAATGGGCATTTGTTTCAGTGTTTTGATTTTCTAGAAACATATTTAAATAATTGTTTTCGTTTAAACATTCATGAATAAATACAAATTTTCATGTACTTTAAAATATTTTAAAATATGTGACAGAGACTTTGTTATATTGGTTGGTGGTTTAATCTCAGTTGTCTTATTTTTTTTTTTTTACTAAATAAACTTGTTAATACTGAAGTTTAGGTTTGGAGGTACATTAAAAATGTCTGATTGAAAGTAGAATAATGGGTTCTTATATATCACATGAATATTGTGTTTTTCAACTAAATATTGTTGAGGGCTAGAGCCAATCTACAAGGTAGGTTTTTAAAAATAGCATCAGTGCCTTGAATTTACTTCCTGCTGAAATGTCAGAAATACTTTGTTACCTCTCTCGTTTGTAGTTAACCCGGTTTTCCTGTTTTATGATATTTGTTATCTATAGTCCTTATCTTTAAGTATCTTTTTCTGACTGGTCAAGAAAGGTTATTGGGTGTTTGTTTGGGAGGCTTCTTTTCTAGTTTAAGCAGAAATTCAGTCAACACATTGGTAATATTTATTAAGTAGAAGAGTTTATTTGGTAGCTCAGAAACAGAACAGCTAGTGATGTGAGCGTATACAAGAGGTTCCTTTTGTTTATTTATTTCCAATATGTGTGGAGATATTATAGTAATCGCAGTCTTAGTTAAGAGTGATATTTTTTTCAGTAAATAGTCGAAATATCTTCAGGATTTCAATTTGAAAGAAAAACTAAGCCCTGTTAATCAGAAAAAATTAAGTCATTTTACAAATGTTGGGAAAGACCACAAACTGGTAGTTTATAAAGACTTTAAAAATATTTTATCATTTTTTAATCTTTAAGAAATTTACTTGTTAATATGGCTTAGTCTTTGAAATTTAAATCCAATTCCTTCTGCTTTGGTTTCTAGAATAGCATTCCTGAGAGTAGAAAAATTAGTAAAATCTCCAACCTAAAAATTATTATAAATTTAAAGTATTTTCAAAAAGGATATAAAATAATCATATAAATTAAATCAAAGCTTACATCCATATTACTACTCTTTCATTGAACAGATATTTATTGTGCCCTGTTATGCGCACTATTCTTATGGCTAGAGTCACAGCCTGTATAAGAAAAGCAAAGTTCTGGCCATTCAAGGAACTTAGAATTTCCTTTTGTAAAACACAATTCTAGAAAGCTTTTGAATTTGTTCCAAAGAAATGAATCAGTGGATTTCATTATATGTAATGACTGAGTATAGGACAATTAAATATAATGGTCTTTATAATGAATATAAATGTAAGTTTATCAGGACATGGATTAAGCAAAATGGAAATCCAGATAATAGTTTCAGTTCTTATATACATGAGATGAAACTTAGTTTAAAATTAGCTGTCATTTAATGACATATGGATTAATTATGTTATTTGATTTAAAAGATTGTATGTAAGTACTTGGATAGATTTTAGAACTGGAAATGGTGATTTTAGATAAGATTATTATGGAAACTTTTACAAATACATGATTCTGAATATACATTTTATTTTTTATTATGATTTATTTGTAAATAAGATTCATGTTCAACCAAAGAAATACAGTTTAAATGGCTAGATACTATGATTTGTCATTGTATAGAATAGAAAGTTATTTACAATAAACTTTTATTAAAATATAGGAATAAAATGTACCCATAAATGATAGAGAACTAGCTAAATCAATAGACACTAAATTCATAGATAACCATGTCAGTCACTTGGCAAACTTAACTCTTACATCTTACCTCTTATCAGATTTTTTTACTTACTCAGAAGTTTCTACCAGTTTCCAAATGAGTGAATGTAACATCAAATTTGGAGATACTGAATGTTCATGATGATTTGAGCATCAGGTGACTTTTACCTCATGTCACTAGTAACTAGGAGAGTATTCTAAAATCAGTGACAGTTTGTATAATTAGCCTTTGGATGTCCTGTATCAGGGTCATATTTGCTTATTTTCAAAATAGCAGTAATACAAACAACTTTGCTTAAGACGGTTAACTAGTAAGTTGGAAAGCATTTAGCCACCCCTTTATTTCTCATGGCATAAATGTATATGTAGATGTGTGTGCATATGCACACAATTTTTAATATATCATTTTTCCACAATTTAATTTCAGTTTCAAACAGTCTTGATGTCATCTCAGACCATATCATAGATTTATTTGTATTTAATATGGAAGTAGGATTTTCTAGATCTAGAAAAATTTCCTATAAGTTGTAGAATATTTAAAACAGTGATGAGAAGAAAATACATGATTTTGAACCCCAGGGAATGGTTCTGACTGTAAAATTGTAGAGAAATTTTCCTGGTGGTTTTATTACTGAAAATATTGACATTTAAAAAAGAGTCACTCCAATAACAAAATATCTCTTTCTAAATGGCATCATTTTAATATATAAAAAGTAACTTTTATGAACCTATGTACACATATTTCTGTTTATGAATCTTAATAAAAATGGCATCTACTTATGGCATCAAACTAATCAAAATTTTTTGCATTGCAATTTAGAAAAAAATGCATTCTAATAAACCCCTGAAGCGTATGGTTCTGAGTTTAATGTTCATAGTTGAATCAATCATTCTTAAATGTGAGAAGCTAGTATAAATAATCATAATTATTATTGACTACTTCTACTTTATTCTTGGTATCAGTGCTTTTTCAGAAAAATACAATATATCCTTTTTGGTACATTTTGACAAGTATTTTAACCCTTTATTTACTTGAAGTTACCAATTCTAACATGTGGTTAAGAATATTTTTGCATCATTATACATGGTATTTTTAAGGATTTTTTTAAGGTATGTGACTTAAATAAATACCAAAAATATTTGATGAAGTAAATGACCCTATTTTCCAGGACTTTAAATTATTGGAAACAAGTAAATTATTGGAACAAGTAAAGCATCTTGCTGTGTTTAAGATTAATTCCTAAGTTGCTAAAGTAGTTCTTTTTTCTTTTGCAAATAATCTAATTTGTATAGTTTCCCACACTTGTCACTTAGTAGCAGCTACTTGCCTACTAGAATCTTTGAGCAAAAGTGTCATGTGGTTTCCTTTGATTCAAACTGAATGAATCTTCTTTCTTCATTAAAAATATTTCCGGAATAAAGAAATCATCTGTTTTTTTTACTTCCAGAATTCAGGGCAGTTGCCACAGTAATGCAGTTAATGTAGAACCATTTGTATCTTGTGCTTTACAAAAATGTTCTTTATTTGAATGAGTGAAATATACTCATTCGTTAAAATACTTAAGTCTGTAAATTTAATGGCTATAGTCATATATATAAATATCAATACTATAAAAAATGTACATGCATCTTAATTGCATGCATCTATCTTTGTTGTATGTGAACATTTCTTATTTAGGTAGATTCTATTCAAATACAATATTTTCTTCCTAAACTTTTGAAGCACAAGATGATAGAGATTTGCATATTTGTATTCCACATTAAGCCATCTAGGTACTTAGCATATATACAGGTATTTACTCATGATATCCGTGTTAATTCTAATTAAATTAAAACATTGTGTGGTAGATTTTTGTTACATTTTCTCCCAAACAGAACATAATGTATTTTCATTTTATTATAAAATACCTTTAATGGTATTACTATTTTATTAACATTAATTTTAGACTTCAATAGAGTTGTAATATCTTCAGAAAAGCTGTATTTACCAATGCCTTTGGGGAATTACTCTAATTGAGTTTAGTTACTTGAAAAGGAAAGGAGAATAGCACAGAAACAGATTTTAACAATTAATTCTCTTCATTAGTACATTTTATGAATCTTCACATTTAAATTAATAGAACAATAAAAACGGAGCTTCGAAAAATTAGATTGAATTAGGAACATTTCCACTTTTCTGATCATTATTCTTGCTTTGGTTTAATAATAAAATAATTGTTGTTATACCTTACATTTGAGTGTAACTTTAAAATTTTAAAGAATTCCACTTGTGCCCTGTGAACTAAGAATTATAGGACTGAAACTATACAACTATTAAGTTGTGAAGTACAGAGAAAGATCAATATTTCTGATTCTTGCATGTGTAAACCAAGGAAACCTTTCACATGTCACAAGCCTCTGTTCTAAGCAATAGCTGTGTTTAAAATATATAATGGCATTTATAGCTGTAACTTGGGATTTGGAGTGGAAAAGACATTTGAATTTTCTATTTTCTTCTCTATTCTTCCTTTATAGTGAAGTATTACAATTAATGTGTATGTTAGTTTAACTCAATTTGAAGATCGTTTTAAGCGGTTAAAAGAATTATAAAGACCTGTCTTTTGTAGAAATCTTAGGATGAATCTTCAATAAAAGTAAGCTTCTACAGCACTTGGGGAAAAAAAGGTCATTCTTAACAGATGAATTAAAAACAGAAATTAAAAAATTAGATGTATAAACATCTGCATGAATTTTTGTCACCCAGTTATGTAACAGTGACTCTAAGTCTGGTATTATTATTAGATGAATAAAAGTCTTCACCTTCATGAGACAAATACATATAATTATCAGTTTAAATAATATTTCTATAGCACTTATCACCAGCTGGTTCTAAGTAATGCTAAAACTACTACAAATCCTTGTTCTATGTATTGTCACAAACACTATAATAAAAATAGTGAGCAATGTTGAAATATTTGGAATTAGCAAACTTGTGATGTGATAGTATTATTTCCACCTCACAGGTAAGAACAACAACAACAAAAAGAACAAAAAACCAAGGCACAAAGTGGTTAAGTAACTTGACACCCAGCTAGACAGAAACAGGTAGTTTAACCTAGACATTCCAAGTCCAGTGTCCATGCTTTTAACTACTGTGTTGCAGAGTCATTTATGCCACAGGCTCAATGTGATCACTGCTGTTGAGATTGTGGAGTCTCATTTGACCTCGTGTTTTCACGTTTAATGATTTGTGAGTTAGAGAAAATTATTTAATCTCTCTAAACCTTAATCTTTTTATTTTTAAAAGTGATAAAAGAGCATTCCTACCTCACTAGGTTGGTGAGATCAGATAAGTTAATGCAGGTAAAGCAGTCATGTTAGCATACATCAGACTCCTAGTAAATGTTAGATATCATGGTATCATCATCGTTGTCATCACCACCGTCATTATGGATTGCTGTGATAATCTAGTATACAGATATGTTATAGGGATTAGAAGAGGAGGAAGACTTGAAAGTTTTACAGAAGTAAAATCTCAATGGGGTCTAGAAAGATTAATAGAAACAAAAGCGGACAAGTTCTAAAAGATGTCTATAACCCTTTCTTTGTTCAGGGGTAGAAAGTTTGTACAGAAGTCTACCAGATTCTACACCCTCACCACCCCCCTTATGACCAGACATCCGACTTTTTCCTCTCAACACTTTTCTTTCTGGTCTCTTCACTTTGCTTGGACACACCAGGCACACACCTGCCTTAGGGCCCCTGCACTTGCTGTTTCATTTTCCTGAGATACATTTTCCTTAGATATATACACATCTAACTCCCTCCTGATCTTAGGTTACCAATTCAAGGACTCCTTCCCTGATCACCTTAAAATGGCAATCTGCACCTACCCCCAAACCCCACCCTTACACACATTTCTGATCCTCCTTGCCCTAACGTGCTTTTTGTTGTTAGCATTTATCACCGTCTAACAAACCATATAATTTACTTGGGGGCTTTTTGTTGTTGTTGCTTTTTGCTTGTCTCCTATGGAGAAAATGTCAATTACAGGAAGGCAAAAATCTCTGTATATGTGTGTGTTCACTCACAACTAGTACAGTGTCTGGCATATATGCAAAATCCAGCAAATATTTGTTGAATGAGTGAGTGAAGGAGTGAAGACCTTTATGACAGTGAGTCTCATTAATTGGCCTAAATCTCTGTGCTCTCATTCTGCTTTTTGCCAAATATGAGAAAAGGAACATTTGTCCTTCCAGTCCCTGAGCATTCTTAGGACAATGCATAAATTTCCCATACTGGTATATTTCTTTTTATTTTGAGCCCAGATACCTACTGGGCCTGCAGTAGCTCCTCTGCTATGTAGATGCCTTCCTTCCGTTTGGCTTAGGAACAAGCTTTCCTTCCCAACAACCATCTCGCATCTATTTCAGGCACATGCCACACACTTCTCTACTCTTCTACACACTTCTGCCACCTCTCCTGATCACAGGATCAACAAAGTAAATAAGAATATCAGAGATATTCCTTTCACATTAGAGATCATCTCTTAGTGCTTTCGTAGGCCTAAACCCTATTTCATGGGGTCTTCCCTTCTGGAGCAAGAGTGTATCCCAAGGGCATAATCAGAATCAATCAACTTCTTCCCTTCTCTTTTCCTGGACAGTATATGACAGAACAGGTTAGGGGCCAGACATACTTACATTCTAATCCCAACTCTACTACTTACTGACTGAGTAACCTTCCTGAGTCTATTTCCTCACCTTTGAAATGAATATGACACTTTCTGGAAGGAATGTCATGAAGATTACATAGTTAGTGCCTCACCTCCCTCAGTGCCTGGCATAGAGCTGTTCTTCAATATATCCTCTTTTCCAACTATTAAAGGAAAGTGGTAAGTGAGAGATGTCTCCCCCCTCTACTTCAATCCTTTCTTCATCTCTTAGAAGTGAAATGTCACAGTAACAGAAGGCTGAAGAACACACAGCCAAAAGAAACCCTGAATTGGAAGGGCAACACAGGGTAAACCCAGTTTTTGGCAATAACGAAAGAGATGGGGAGAGATGAGCACCCCAGACGTCTGTACACCCCCATGAAGGTGCATTTTGTACTTTGACGTGTGCTTCTAGTTGGCTTGAGAGCAGGGCTTTACATATAGGAGACCCAGATTATCTGGCATTAATAAGTAATAACAGTTTTCTGTTTGTTGTTGGAAGGGACATCAGGAAAGAAAAATAAGCATAGGTTGTAAAGAATCAACTATTGTGATAAAAATACATAATTATCACGTGCACATTACTTTTTATGGTTTCTCTGGGAGTTTTAAAAGTAAGTTTTAGTTTCTTGACTACAGTATCACACTGTAGGTCAAATAGGCATACGTAAGCTGCTCCTTAGGGAGGCACGCTGTCTATATAAACATTTCCTTGGGAAAATGCATTTCGGGTTCCAAATGCTCAGTGTACATATTTACTTCTGGAACATAGAGTAATTGGGAACTTTATTAGGTCTTTGGTGTGTGATATGTGATTAGCTTTTTAAAATGCTACATGGTTACAAAAGCTTGGTTATGATCACTTAAGAAGTAATTCTAATATTTGATTTTAAATCATTATGTGAAGCATATTTCACTACAGTGTTTTTCTTCAGTCCATATTTTGTGAAAGAAGAATAACAAAAAAATCTCTGTAGCACTGTGTTTCAACTTGTAAAAGTAGAAGGCATGTCATCCCTTTGTGGTCTTTCAGCACCTAAACCATTGCTGTCATCACATCTGTCATCACTACATTTCCCCACTGGATTTATTTACTCATTAAGAGAGGCACAGTTGCTCAGCAGGGGCCCATACTAGGTCCTTACTGCAGACAGCCCTCTCTGGACTAATGGGGCTTCTTGTATCTCCTGTTGGGCAATTTGTGTCTTCCACCCAGCACTGGTTCTGATTTTTATTTTTATTTATTATCATTTGTTTTTACTTTAAAAAGCAACTGACTGACAAAACCATTTAAGGAAAATAATTGTCATTTTCATGCCTGTTGCTTTTATCATTGTATGATATTACTGTAGCTCTATTCATCATATATTTTGTATTTCTTTAACATTTCATTCCACAGGCACTCCAGAAAGTCTGAAAGATCTAGCATCCAAAAACAGACTAGGAAAGGCACTGCCTCTGATGCAGAAAGGTAGGCTTGGTGTTGTGCTGTGTGGCCATCTTCTGTTTCACCTGATATATTCAAGGGTGCCTTCTCTCTCATTTTACATAATCAGTTCTTAAGCACATTTTATGGTGTTTAAAGACATTCATTTAAATAAACCTCCCATATGGAAATGGCCTCAAAAAAAAAAAAAAAACCAAGAGAAGGGTAATTTGAAGGTGGACCTTAAATCTTACAGTTTAAGAAAAACCTCATTTATTTCTCATAGTGAGATCACATTGATTACTAAAGAGGACTAAGTCTGTACTCATTCCTACTTACATATTAGGACATCAATATTTTGTTTCTGAGGTTATTTAAATGTTAGCAATGAATGTAATACTTAGAATATGTGAATATTTTGAGTGTTATTTATCTGAGTGATGTTTAAAAAAATCTTTTTTCTATGAATAGATATAAGATTCTACTTATATATGAAAGATAGTTGCTGCATTAATGTAAAAGTTAAAGGAATTACTGACCTTGCTTTGCAATTTATCTAACTTTACAATTTTTTGCTATTTTTAGGTGTCAGATATTAACACATTATTTTACATAGCTGTGAAAAACACCAAATGTCCCATCAACATATTATTCATTCATCCAAAAATTATTGAGAACATGCAGGGGGACACAGATGTAAATGAAAGAATGCATTAAAGTATCATAGCTATGATATAGAGGTATGAAGAAGATCCAGTGGGAACACAGAAAAAACTGGAGTGTAGAAAGGAAATATCTCATAAAAGGTATCACTTGAGTGAAATCTAGATACATAAAAGTAGATGTGAAGAGAGTGGTCCATGAGAAAGAGAAAAATTTGAGAAAACAATGAGGCTTAAAGTTTCCTCTTGATTTGGGGGGAACCATACACATTTTGAGAGGAAAAGGGAGATGGGAGAGAGTAATGAAAATAAAACTGGAGAAATCCCTAGATGCTTTGTTGCACATGACCTTGTGTACTGTTTAACAGAATCTCACCTTCTATTTTATTCATCCATCAGCCATTGATAGGCTGAGAGACAGATGATTCGTTTTGAGTTCCAGAATTATAGAACACTATAACAACATTTTGTAAGGTGGATTGAAAGATCCAAGGGCAAGTGCAAGACACCAGCTAAGCTGTCACAATAGGCTTGATTGAGATAGACTCTGTACAATTTAATTATTCATTGAAAGAATATGTGCACAGCTATGTACTAAGTTCAGGGAATAAAATAGTGAACAGCAAAAGAGGAAAGCTTCCCAGGAGATAATTACTTCTGAGTTGAGATTAGAAGAGTGAATAGGTATTAGTTACATCAAGGGATGGGAGTAAACAGAAGATGGAATTTTTTTCTAGTTATATCTATGGAAATACCAACTATTTAGGGAATCTAATTCACAATGGAACAGGGATTTAGAAAATTCAAAAAAGTGTTGAGTAGAAATTCAGTTTTACAATTTATAAAAATTCAAAAAAGTGTTGAGAAAGGAAATGAAGAACAGAACTCTAGCACTTCAGATAGATAGATAGATTAGCAGATTGCAATGAAGCAATACTGATTATGTTTTTATGTACATATTCTTTATTTTTTTTTTGTTTTTTTTTTGTTTTTTTTTTTTACGTACATATTCTTTAATGTCATCTCAGTTAATTGCATTTTCTTTACTATCATAAGTGACTTAAATTCCTTAGACAGGTTTTTAATCTTTAACATCATTCACTGACCCATCTCACAAACATAATTTCTTAAAATTTTTTTAATATTTTTTTATTTATTTCTGAGAGAGAGAGAGAGACAGTGTGAGCAGGGGAGGGTCAGAGAGAGAGGGAAACACAGAATCTGAAACAGGCTCCAGGCTCTGAGCTGGCTGTCAGCACAGAGCCCGATGTGGGGCTCAAACCCACAAACTGCGAGATCATGACCTGAGCCGAAGTCAGATGCTTAACCGACTGAGCCACCAAGATGCCCCAACATAATTTCAATTATTTTGACATTTCCTCAAAGTCTTATTTTTATTCTGTTCAGGCATTTTTAATTCACTTAACAGTTACTAGTTGAGTGACTACTGTGTGCAGTTTTATAGTTAGAATATATCAATGAGCATGTCTTTGACTATAGGATACTGTTTTACAAAATGCTAGATGATTCTAGAATCAACTGATGGTGCTTAACTACAAATGAATAATATTTGGGCATTTTCTTCTTCAACACTGAAAATATCTGTAAATAAATACAAGTCTTCCTTCACTCCAGAAAGAATAGCAAGAATGTGATTGATTTCCCAATCTCAAATGTTTGCTGCTTAAGGACTATATTCATATTACTCTTGCTTTATTTACTTTGCTAATAGGTTTTAATATAGAAAACTCAAACCTTTTAAGTGTGTATATTTGTTTAGTTATAATTAAAGCTCTCCACTGACTTTTATTAGAGTAATATCTCATTTTTAATTGAGCAGAGTAATTAGGTACAAAAGAAGAAGTGGCCTGGGTCTTCTAGGTTTGTGTCAGCTCTCCGTTCTTTAGAAGATACCTTGAGTTGACATCTAACTACAGGTCAATTGAGGTCACAGTATGAATGCCTTTGGCATTGATTCTTGGCCTTTGGAAAACTAACAATTTACCCAAAGTATTCATACCACACAGTCACACCTTGGCTTCAGGCAAAATTTGCTATTTAAGGGTTAATTTTGAAGGCCCTTTGTTGGCTTTAACAAATTTGACCTTATGAAGAATAGTCTTGTAAGAAAATATTTTGAAAGATAAACAGAAGATAAGCAGAACTGTTGTCTGACTTTTGTGCCTAGTAATTGAAAGCAGTGCTTTAGATTCTCTTGGGAAGGTCCTTAGTAAGCTAAAAGTCTTGACTCTCATATGAATTCAGCTATATGACCTTCTAGTACTATTTCTTATTTCTACCCTAGTGACTTTTCTTCTTGTAGAACCTATATTCTGCAACCTACCTGGGGGATATTTTGTCAGGACTAGCATTTAGAATTGGTTGTATATACAATATTGTGCTGGTGCTATTGGAAAGAGACTGTATAGTCCTGTAATGGCCATTATAATAGGAACCATTTTGAACCGTTGACCTTAAATACCATGTGCATGTCCATTCCTTAATAAGTCATTTAAAAAGTAGAATTACATTATTAAACTGCAAGGAAGAAATTTACTGGAAGACCATTGCAACAATAGAAATGTCTGACTAACAACTTCAGATTTTGTTCAGAAATGTGTTTTACTTAAGTTCAAGTCAAAACACTAGTCTTAGGTGAAGAGAGTAGGCATAGATTGGACTCAGTGGTAAATATTTAGATATGCATTTGGAAATGGTAAACTAGCTTGAGACATACTTAGGTTTGAATTAGAGTTTTTCTTTAGAAGACTCTAAATTTGATATATGGATATATATTTAAGTTTTGTTTTATAAGATTAACAATATCAATTTGATGTTTGGATATATATTTATGTTTTGTTTTATAAGGTTAACAATATATCCAAGGATTTGCCATTTTTCATCTTGTGATGTAACAAATCCTATCTCAATAGGCAGCATAGAGGACAAGTGTTGGTGCTCAATAGATCTATGTGGATCCTATCTTTACCACACATTAGCTCTTTATCTTTTTATAAGGCACTCTGTGATCCTCAGTTTTTCTGTCTATAAAATAGGAATAATGACACTTCTCAGAGCTGTTACAAGAATATCAAAAGAAGAACGTACATGTGTATGGATGTATGTATGTGTTCACACACACATGCATGCAGTGCCTGGCATGTGTAGACGGCTCCATATATGATGCTCAGTAAAGAAAAGTTGTTACTGTCACTTATTTTCTTTATCCCTCATACACTCCCTATTCCATTTTCTAATATGGGTGTTCCTAATCTCTTCCATTCTTGCATCCTTACGTTCTTAGCACATCCCATTTCATTGAAGACATCAAGGCTTGGCAGCCTAGATTCTGTCAACATATCAGCCCTGTACCTCAGACTCTATTGATTGATTCTCCTTTCCTCTCATCTAAAATGAATCGTACTTGCTTCCATTATCTCTCATCCCCAAACCTTGCTCTTCTCTCAAGCTCTGCATTTTCATTCACTCTCCTCAGTTTTCCTTCCCGTAATTCAGACTTACTGGCACACTCCTCTCTCTTCCTCAGGCAAAGTTGTTTTTGACACCACTCCTTTGGTCTATGCTTTCATATTTGTTACAATGGGCTGGCAGCAGGGACTGTTTTGTTACTGAGGGACTTTAGCTCATGTCAAAAAAAAAAAAAAAATCTGTGCTAAATGATGAACCATAAACACTACAAGCTGTTCTTAGACACTGCAAGCTCATGGTTTTGAAGATGGGAACACGAAGTCCTGTAGCCTCAATCTGTATCGTACTGACCTAGAAAGCCATTTATCTGCTCCAAAAATTTTTTTATATCTTTGCCATTTAGTTTAGTGCCACATAAGGGCCACTTAAAGTTTTCACCTTTCAAGTCACTTATAAGTAGTTCTTTTAATGCTTATGAATTGAATTAAGGAATGAAGCGAGATTTTAGTGAAATTGAAATAAAATTTCTTAATACTGGGGTGAAAACTGCGTTACTAGATTTTCAGACCACACTAAGAAAGTGTATTTTTAACAAGGATTGCTTGAACTTAATTTCATGATCATGGCTTTTAAAGAGCAATAGATGAAACTCATTCTTTATGAGTTAGAAGGACTTGATCATGTAATCCTTTCTATATAAAGTAATTCTATAGAGTTAAGTTAATGTGAAAAGTCAAGTTAGAATGAATGAACAATCTTAATATGTATTGTTAGTTCTTTTTTCTTTTAATTTGGAAATTGAGACAATAGTCCAGGTTTCAGGATTTGCAGTATGGGTCTGATGAAGTATTAATCTATAGGTCAAGAAGATAAAAATGCACATTTATTACAGATGTAAGTTGTACCTTTTTGTCCCATAGAAGCTGACATTTTCCCATTTTATTGTTCTGAAATAGAGGAGATTCCCTGTATTAAAATAATTAAAGCAGTGAAAATAATTTCATTTAAAAGAAAAATTGTCAATCTGAATACAAGTTGAATAAAACAATAATTAATGTATTTCCAGTTATCAGTATGTATTTTTTGCTCTCATACTTCAAATCACTTGATAAGTGAATTTTACAGTATTGTACTAGAAAGGATGAGGTATTATTTCTTTCTGTCACTGTAAAAAATAATACAGATTGGGTATTTTAGACATGCATTTTATTTAAAATACAAACTGTAAATGATTAAAAAGGCAAAAGCATGTATCTATTTTAAACTAGCTACACATATATTAACTTTTAATTCTTAATCCTTAATTCATAAATTGACTTCATAATTTTGAACCCTATATTAAGATAACTGTCAATGTATGGATAAATATCTTTTCAGGCTTTTTTTTTTAAATCTTAAAAGACATGTTATTATCTGTACATCAGCCATTTGTATTTAGTTCAATGATGAAACTTCTCCATATTATTGTATCATTTTAATTTGTTGGTCTGCTTAAATTAACCTCAGAAGACATCTTCTTTTTGCAGCCTACTAGGAATAGACTTCCTATTGCAGAGTAAAATTATGAACATTGTAAACACAGAGTCCTACAGTGTACTATTTCTTCTTGAAGACATATGTTTGAAGTATCCCTATATTCATTACTCCAATTGTATTTATTGATTCAATCAAGTTATCTTTATTGAGCTCTTGCTCACTGTACAACTGTATACTAGCAATACAGGTCAGTAAAAAACAAGAGACAGAAGTCTCTGCCCTTGTACAACTTAACAGGAGGTTTATTACATTGGAGGAATCTGGATTAGCCCTCTAAAAACCACATGGCATGCACATTTGCAGTAACTTGTTGGTTTCATTTTAATTCCATTTCAATGATTGCATGATGATGGATTTCTTCTGGTGTTTAAAGTCGCTGCCTTGTAAGAGTAACGAGGATTTCCTTGGACGAATGTGTTGGTATCAAACTTAATGTGAACCTGCTGACTGAAGATCTTTTTTGGCCCTAATGTTTTAGGGTTCTCCCACCATGCCTTTCTAGAAGGGGATACGCAGCCCTAAGAGCGACTGATCAGCCAGTCCTTAGGGGAAAACATCCCGCTCGCTCAAGGTCGAGTGAGCACTCTAGTGTCAGAACACTGTGTTCTACCCACCACCTTGCCCCTGGAGGGTCGGCGCCACCTTCTCCGCTTCTGACAAGGTCGCTATTCAGTGTCCAGCCCAGCATTCATGTTCTGCCTCCGGGTGTTGGTGTGGTGTTGTACCTTCCTGAGCACTTGATGCTTTCACTCATTATGACACCATAATTTTTTAATCTTTCTTTGTGGCACTTAAACCTCTCCCACATCCTCTATTACTTGCATCTATCTTCACTGTGCTGGTAGTATAGTTCCTGCCAATTAGCTATCATTGAAAATTAAATTTGGCTGTGTTATGTCCTTCCATCTGTTTGTGGCATATTCATATATATATATTTTAATTATGTGAAATTCTTCATGAGAAACTACCTGGAAAATTAAATGTGTATTTGCCTTAAAAAGCATAAGAGAAATTTTAAAAAAAAAATGTGTATGTGTTCAGTAAGATCTTAAGACTATTTTAAAGTTCTTTAGTTTAAAAAAAATTTGAATGCCGGCAGATGGAGGTCCACTTACTCGTGTGCAGTAGTAATGTATCTGCACACTTCTCAAATTTATATTTGTAATTTCAATCATTGCACCAGTATATTTTATAGCATATACTTAAGGTTAATTTTTTTTAAATATCTATCAAGGTTTTTCCTATTCAAAAATAAAGAACAAGTGAATGGTAATTTATAAAAGTCTACAGCTAGCACTAATCTCACTTACAAATAATTCTAGATATAAAAATTAACTTAATAGCAATTTAGGCAACAGCCTTTCTTAACTAATTTACCCATCGTGTTAGGGTTAAGAGGCTGTAAGTAGATATATTTGGTTCAGCACCACCAAAAATCGATAACCTAATGGAAAGCCACAACTTCATAGAAAGTTAATTTATAGAAGTGAGTCTAATTGTACTCAATTCAGGAATTCATTATGCAGAATTGTGTGTGACAGACATTTCCTGTCTCTTTTAGTCACTTTTTATAATATTTCTTTTACACGTATCATCAAGAACATTTGATTTTGTTTCCAAAGGCTGAGTTAGGAGGTTTATGTCTATTTTAATAGTAACAGGATAAAGAGAAAGTATATGTCGGGACCACTTGGAGTTCCACGATTTCATTCCCTACTTTGTTTTTTGCCCACAGAATGCACAGACAAGCAAGTCCGACCCACACTCCTCCTGCAGACACATCCGCCAGCAATCGAAGGGGCCGGCAGCTCCCACAGGTGCCAGTGAGAAGCGGCAGTATAGAACAAGGTATCCAATAAAGAGAGATCATTGCCCAAAAACCTTGGATTTGAGAACCACCTCTTTTTATACTCCTTTTATTAAATGAATAGTACTTTGATTTATGTATCAAAGTGATTTTGCTTATGATTTTGCTGAATCCTAAGATTTTGTTTCTTGGAATTTTATTCCCAGAACTGATAATGGTTCATGGCATATACGCTGACTTTGCTGAATGAGTGAATGAATGAATTCTAGATTGTCAATTAAGAGAGTGAATTGAGCCCTATAAACACCTGTTTTCAAAGGGACACAGAAACAAAATGCAATTTTTAAAATCTTAGTAAAATATGGTATTTTATGTATGAAAGAGGGCTTACTTAAGCTTTTTAAAAATACTTTTTAAACAGACATTGAAATCTTTACTAGTATTTTTAATTTTAATTTATTAACAATAATCTGTGGTTTTTATACAACTTTTTTATGAAGAATGACTTAGAGAACACATTTTAGTGCTTTGTGTTTTTTTTTTAACAGGTCATGTTACTTATAGATTCTCTTATTTTAAGCATATACACATTGTGTTTATTTTCCTAGAAAGAGAATGGAAGAGAGAAAAGACAGAAGGAGAAAGTTTTGACAGTGGAAATAAATTCCCTAAAGTATCTGGGCTAGATTACACAAACGCTAGGTTAAAATAGTCACTGTATTTTTTTCATGTGACTCAAGATCTATCCTAATTCTCCATAGGTGAAATGATTTATCAGTATATGTTATCACATAACTATGATGGGAACTACGAATTAATTTACTGAAATAATTTTTAATTTGGGGTTATAATATAAATATAGTGGACTCACACTTAAAACATGTATTTAAAATCTTCATCCCCATAAAATGACTAAAAGGGTAACATTTTGAATATTTTTTCAACAGTTTGGTTGTTGCTGATATGAAACTTGTATTTCATTCTATATTGAGGGAGCTGTGTGTGTGTTTTACTTACTTAATTGAAGTACATTACTGAATGTATCACAGAAATGTATCACAGAAGTATCACAGAAATGATGTAAGAGTATAAATACATTGTTTCAAACACTGTTATGGCAGAATCTATAAAAAGAATACTTGGTTATAGAAAGATTAGTGGAGTTTTTAAGAAGTATCAACTTACTAATAGAGGAATGTTACTATGGTAAACTCATGATGTGTATTATTTTTAAAGATTATACATCTCACTGATATATCATGCTTCAATATTTAGGGTTGTTATAAGAGTATGCATTTAGTTAATAAGAAATATATGCTGCTATGTGAAAATCTGACTTTCTTTTCTAAAACAGCAATTCAGTTATTTCATTGGAATTCTCAATTCATGTGTTTAACAAACTTTCTTTTCTCTTTTGGGAACATTTTGAGAAGATAATTCATAATGTTTTTAAGACTCAAATTAACAATAGCCCTGATGAAAGAAACTGCTTTAAATAAAGTTTGGTGTTTATTTAAATTATCCATTCATGAACTCCTGTTGCACAACTAAAATAACTACAAATTCTGGAATTTTCCTACAAACTCAGTGTTACTAGCCATAATTTGCTAAGATCAATATCCAAAAAGTCATGTGTTCCTAAAATTCTTTGCATTTCCTCCAGTTGCTAAAACACTCGATAAGTTCAAAGGCATAGAAGAGTACCGCATATAACTCATATAGTGAGGTTATAGCTATATAATTTCTATAGAAATAAGAATTGCTTCTACGAAATAATTTGGAATGTATGCTGGATTTGTTTTTTTTTTTTAAACTTATGTTCTATTGTTAATATCAACATTACTGTTTATGATATTCATATTCACAGTTGTCTTTCAGAGAAATCATCAATTTGTAAGGATTGAATTGAGGTGGGAAGAAAAGAATGACTGAGGATGAAATTGATGGACTTATTTTGATATTTAATATCATAAATACACTAGTAAACTTTTTGTTATTTAAGGTTCCTGAACAATTTATGATCTTAAGAGTCATATACATAAAACCTTTTAAAAATATGAAAACAAACGTGTTATCTAAGTGTTTTTCTATAATTAAAATAGGTCTGGTTTACTTTATGATATTATGATGTGCTTTGGTAAATGATGATAGTGCCACCATCATCTTATCATGGATCTATTTCAAACTGAACATACATGACATTTTGTGTGTCCCAAAATATATTTTTTAAAGTAAAATTTTCATTTGATTCATGGACTAGATAGAATTTAGCATGTTCTATTTATGATTGATTTCATGTTGTTCGTAGGTCTTTTGTAGAATTATGTTTTTTTTCTTTTGATACTATTTTTAAACATTAGTCATATCTTCTATGAAGTTAATGCTGAGTGCTGTTTAGTTGCAATTAAACCTCTACTACACTTGGTTTTCTTCTCTCTAATTTTCTTTTTTGTTGTTGTTTTTATTTTTAACAAAGAGTAGGTTTTTTTGTTTTTGAATAGAGAACTGAGTTGATGATAAGCAGTTGATTGGTAAGAGCAAATATTTCAAATGGTTTAGATTCTTGGATAGTGATGCAACTTCTTGATTAACTTACAAAGTAATGTTATTCATATGGTTTCTGGGTACAGTTATCAACATGATTGTTTTTTGGATTCATTCTAGGATGATTAGATTGTTTGACTGGATGCATGTTTTGTTTTGTTTTCTGCAATTCAGTTTTACTACTCTATCTTTGGACCTTAGAAGCAATATGTGCTATTTTAAAGGCAAACACATCCTTTGAAAGGACGTTTTTACTTAATTTTTGAAAAAGGTTTTTAAAGTTTCTTTTAAAAATTAGGAATGTTAGCATATTTGCTACATGAATTCTGATTATATTAATGTATACTTAGAAAAGAAGAGGAATGATCACAACACAGATTTTTAGATAAAGTAGTTGAAAAAAAAGTAGCCTTACAATTTAGGTAACTAATGGCTTGTGATAATTGAGAGACCTCCAAAGACCTCCAAAAAATTTCTCTGGTTGTATTCCAAAGTTGTGTTCCAATGTAGCCTTATGGAGAGTGAAGCTGAAAGCACCGTAATTGTTTGTGTACAAATGTATGCTTTTCTGAAACCAATGAAGTGATTTTTTTTGTGTTCAACTAGATATCTTTTAAAGAAGTATTTAAAAATTATTTGTAACAAACACTTGATGTGCCAGTTATATTTTACGTGTTCTATTATTACATCTGCTACTTAAAAGTCTAATGGTAGTCCCCTTCAGAAATATCTAGAAAGGCCATTATGTTTCAATAAATAGTGTACCAACAAGGAAGCAGATACAAAGTTTTGTGAAATGTCTAAGAGATCTCCAAAGAACAACTTTGCTTTGAGATATTTTAATATAATTAATTTGAGAAGGAAGAAAGGATCACTTAATTAGGATAGTTTTTTTCCGTGTGGAAAAATGTTACTGAGTATTTTCACAGTGAGGAGAAAATGCCTACTATCTAGTAAAATTCAGAATTAAGTTTTTCATTAATTATATAAAATTTCAAATTTTCTGAACTGCTATCATTTTTGAAATGATAAAAATGTTTATATGAATAGTAAGCATGCTTTACAATACACTTGCAATAAAAAGTCATAATGGATTAAAATTAGAATGCTTTAGGAAAAATCAGTGCTAAAATATTTTACAATTCTTAAAAGGCAAGAAAAATGCCACACAGTATATTTTCCAATGCCAAACATTAATTTCCCAATGTTTCTGTTTTTATTTTAAATCTTTAAATTGTATTCATTCTTTCTTTGATTAATTTTAGTGCCACATTTGAGACTTCCTCATGGTTTGCCATTGCGATTTATCATATCACATTATATGTTGTGCATTTTTATTATTCATGCCATTGTGTTGATTCACATTTCCATGTCTAACTATAAATTTGCTGATTTCTTTCTTTTGTTTCCATCATTATGTGCATTTAATTCATTGAAGAACAAGAAAAATATAACTCTTCCACAAAAGGTAAATATTAATGTAACTTTTTAACCATTTAATATTATTTCTTTTCTTTCATAATATGTGAGTTTTATAACTGTATTTATTGAAATAATGAGCAAACTTATTTAGCATAAAGGTAGTTTTTTCCTTACACTGTTTTGTAAAGCATTTGATGTTAAGTAGTTTATATTGTGCACAGTTCACACTAAAGAGGAAAATATTAAAATGAAGAGTGTTTTGTCTCAAAATTTACCTACTCTGACCATTCCTTCGGAAAAGTAACACATTTTTTAAGTATTTTTGTCTGTTTGTTTCCATTTCCCTGCTCTCATGTAAAGGGTATAATTCTTACTTTCTGGTCAGGATAGTATCTCCTGTAAAAATTGAAAATCCCTGGATTTTCCCTTTTGATAGCACTAATATTGTAGAATGTTTGGCCTCCACTTCAATCATGCATCTAGGAAATAGATGCTTAAATGTTAATTCTCTTGGCCCATTAGCCTGCTTTGAGGCGTATTGGTAGCCTCCAGCCTTATCTTTTGGATCACAGTTGAGTTTTGGTCTTTGAACTTGAGTTTCAAGCAGACGTATACCTTGACCTACTCTCATGTGCTGCCAGTACCATTTCTTATTCAGTATTACTGTTGGCCTGATAATTAAATATTTGAATATGAATTTTAGTTTAATGAAATAATATTATTAATAATAGTTAAAAATTAAATAATACTCTGTATTGTAATAAAAGTACATTTACTCAGTATTGTGGATTAATGATTGAATTAGTTTGGTGGACAGAGTAAGCCTAAAACTTAGTCCTGAGAGTAGCATAATCCCTACCTTATGAATGATAAAGCTTCAATGATGAGAGTTTAAAGATCTACCCATTTACACTGCTGAATGAATAGTGGACTATAAGCCCAGGTCTCTTACTTTTGACCTCCTTCCACTATACTTCAGTGTATGCTATTTTAATAAGCACAAATCCCAACTACATTATCCCTAAATCCTAGCATATTAAGGTGTGTGTTATATATCTCAGTATTACAGAGTGAA